ATATAGAGGCTGTGCTGTTACTACTTTATCCGGTCGAGTTGAACGGAACGGATTCACAATCGAGAAATTTTCTGTTCGGTGCGATGTTGCGAAACCTGTTTCGTGACATACAATTCGAAATGTCGCCAGCGTCAGCCGGAAGGAGCAATCGCATAACATCCGATGTCGTTGGGGTGAGGCGAAGGCAGTGACAATTTGCTCCTTTCCTGATACTTACGTATAGTTATACCTGCTATGATGTTTTCCGAATAAATGAAAATAAATCGTACGAACCACAGAATATATTCAGTCTATATTTTGTATGAAGTTATAAAAGTTGGCCGATAAACAATGGCTTGTACATATATTTGTACGAAGCTCCTTCGCTTGAGAAGTAAATATCTTCTTGATGTTGGACTATTTCCTCTCAGCTGCCACGGGAGTCCGTTTAACAGGATTTCCTTTGTCGTAATTGGATCATATATAACAAAAATAAGACAATAATAACCCCATCGTGGGTTGATAATGGCACCGAAGTGCTCCTTCAGAGGGCGCTTAGCAGATACGTGCCGAAATGAAAATAGTAAATAGGTAATGTAATAGCTCTTGTATTTAAGTTAAGCTAGCATGATGACTATCGCAGATCCGTCTTTCTTTCTCACACTTACCTCTGCAAGATCGTCTTTTAGATGATCTGAAAAACAAATTTAACAAAGACGATAACAACAAATACTTAATGAAAATGCTTAATTTTTGTCCTTGACATAGCTATTCTAGTATGATACATAAGCTAACAAGCTGAATTGCTAGTGGGATGGAATGAAGCTTGATCTATTTAGTTAATAAATTATTTTTTTTTAGAAAGATGGGCAGTTTTTGATGCCTTTGGCGCTTGAGTAATGTTTATAAAACCTTTTCAGTTGTTTTTCAGGACATGTACAGCAATACTCTAAATGGCAACAAGATACGGCCACTTCTGTATGCTGCGTGTCTTCCACAGTGTTGATCTTGGAACTCAGCCAACAACAATGGGTAAGGCATCCATACTGCAATAGATGCCATTTTTGAAAAAAGAAATGTATAGATCTGTTTGAGGTAAGTACTAAAGGCCGCATATTTATGAGTTCCTTTTTTTTGTTTTATTAAGTTCGCGACTCAACGGCACAGCTATAGAGTACTGCCTGCCACAGACCTACTGTGGCTTCAGATTCGAATTAATTTTTGCGTTAATCGCGAATGGATTTACTGCTGAACGCCTAATAAGCGACTGTCATGCGACTGTATAACCCTTCTTTTGTAGAGACCTGATTTTGTACGTAAAAAATAGACTCAATCATATATGGTACCTATGATAGCTAACTTGCTGAAAATACTTTACAGGCCACATGGGCGCGGTGCATTCATTATACTTTACGATGTGCTAGCAAAGGTGTTCCACTTTCCATGCACGCTGGATTGTTTATTTTGCCAGCAGTACAGCTTGTTCACATACACGGATATATTTTGTTAGGCCGATCTTCTACCTTAGTCTTAAAATATATTTTTCAATTTGTATTGATTTCTACGTTACAAATTTCGTAAGGTACACTTAGGACATGCAGCAGAGGTAGTACAGCCTCATTTTTATTTACTTTCGTCTTAAATAGATTTTTTTGCTCATTTATCATTTCCACTGTATAAGTGGACAGCAATTACAAATTGGAACTATATATTTTATCATAATAGTTTTTTTTCCCACGCTGTTAATTACCAATACCTGATTGTCTCATTTCTCGAAATAATAAGACGAAAAGAGAAAATCTGGCTCTTGATACTGGTGGCGCCCTCTCTAGGACATCGGCTAATCGTGTAATAATGGGCGCCACTATTTTAAATTTTAGTCTGCTTCTGTTTACAAGTAAGCTACACAAATATCGGTCGAATATCGTAAGGTATTAAACGTTTCTTGTATCGTGTTTCATATATCGAAGATTTTCTAGTCGATGACTTGCTCATAACGTGCTCGATATACAGATTTCCTACATTTTGTGCAATGGCCCGCTAAATGCAGGTTTTGGAATCTTACGTAACTAAGATTCTTCGGCGTGGTCAGCTGATTCACGAAAACTGTCTATGGGCACGATTTGATTCCTACGTCTGATAATTTTTATAATGGACTAAGCAGTACGGATAGGATATTTCGGCAATTATTTTTGCACTACACTAGCCGAAAAGAGATGTTCTATGAAGATTTCGTATTTTTGGTTGTGGACAGTTAAACGAGATCTTTGGATGATATCAATGATTTTTGGATTGATTCGCTCGTGCTCACATTTTAAATCTTTTGCTTGTGCCATGGATTAGTTGCCCAACACTCAACAACATACGTCATTTTTTATAGTTCTGTAGGCAATTGTATCGTTAATCACACAACCACGTCTGTGTAAGTTTTGCTTTTACGCGGAATACATAGTCTCTACTTTATATATCTAAAAAATATTAGACACAACGCAAATTACCTTCCTGTTGATGGACAAGTTGGGGGGAATTAACATAATGTAACACAACGGGAAACACATTTACTGGTAGTGAATTGAATCACGATCATTTACCTTATCGTATAGAATACTGTCAAATCAAAAATGTTATCAGCGTGCTGGATGCCAGGGGCAATACAAGCTGCATAGTGAATAGCAATATCTTCTATGCTACGAATCCGCTTGTCAAGAACATACATCTCAAGCCACTCGCTAACATCGTATGTAACATTTGCAGCTTTTTCATCACGTTTCTTAATTCTCGTCATTGCTGATCATCATACATCATAAGTAGTAATGTCAAGCGACAACTAATGACGCGCATTAGTTACCTGGGAAGCAATGCGCACTTGGAATTATTTCTAATTAAATTCATGGTATCCGTCTAAGCAGCCACTTACAGCATCTCTGACAAGCTGCAAAGTGACAAGTATCAACGTCGTTTTCTAAATACGGTATAGAACCACTTGCATCAAAATATTAAATAGACTTTTTTACTTTATTTCATTATGCATGTTCAGGATCTTTCTAGTTATTTTCCGGTGTGGGCTACGTCCAAAATTACTCCTTTTTACTAATTACTACTTCGTTCAACGGATCTATAATATCATTTATAGCGTAAAAACTTGTAAGTACAGAATTCATATATATATATATATATATATATATATATATATATAGGCAATTTAAAATAGAGAACTCTGTGTGATTATTCTGCGATCAGTCGATCGATGATACTGGAGCTCGCTGTCTTAATCGGACTTTAAAAACCATGATTTATTCAGCCGCCCAAAATTCAGATGGGACTGTTGCTGCTCAATGTTGTAAATGTTCCGTCGTGTCTGAGTAAAGCGAAAAGTTCTACTAGGTGATTTCTATCATCCCACATGACACAACGACGGCCTTATTTAGCATGAATAGTTTTTATGCGTAGGACAGAATCGGCCTCTTCTAATCATACGAATGTCATACCAGTTCAAAAATACTGCTACTTGCATATATCAAAAGCCGAGAGGATAAATCTGAAAGCAAGTCTTTTAGCAGCTGCGTAGCGATTTAGTATAATCTTTGTCCGCTAAAAGTGACGTATTATTCTTAACAAAATACACAATGACCTACCTCTAATAAGAAATCAATTAGTTGTTTAGGGCTAGTCGGTAATTCCTAGATATTAGTCTACTGGCCAGAAAAGAAGAAAATGAATGAGTGCCACTTGTTGCAGTTTATTCATTTTTTGAAACTCAATTAAGTGGCATTGAGGTGGCTTTTGTCAACAGAACGATGATAATGCAACGTGACACAGTACAATTAGATTAATTGGAGCTGGCATGTTAAACGTTGTTTTTTGGAGCCATGCTATAGTGTTGTTAAAACGAATTAATGCTTTCATTTATAAAAAAAGATGGCATGTGGCACAGGAAAAGACCATAATACAAGTGTCAGTTATTATCTAAATGTTTCGTTAAGAACTGCCTTTTACAGAACATATTATATTAGGCTGTTATTAGTGAATCCGGTGGACTTTGAACTTGAATAACTTTCGAACTACGCGTCGTTAACAGACGAAATTTACTAAAAGATATATAAAAAAAGAAACTTACTTAAAATGCAGAAACTGAGTACGAAATAAGTCCCCTGTTAATTCTCTTCAAGCCAGTTAGAAATGTGTATGGTGTATTCTACATGCAATTTGCAAAAGTTCGAGGCGTACTTCAATCTCGACCTCCAGCCTGACAAAGACTTGGCGAAAGAATGGCGTAGCCTTGGAGAATGATCGAGTTTGGTAATATCGGTTAGGTTTGGGCGTAAGATGATGGTAACTGACTGCTAATAACTTGCAATTGACATCAGAGAGACCTGCTACTATAAGATACTCGCCTAAAATAAAACAATAAATGCATCTCGCTATCTCAAGCTCCTCAAAAGGCTCATAAATTATTGGCATCGCAATGTAATTACTTAATGATAGCGACGTGAGACTTCCTCGAGGTGCTTCAATTGTGTCATTAACTGAGCTAAAAATTATACAATGTTGGCTTCAGTACACTTACTGTCGCGATGTGCTTCCGTGTCATTAAGGGGCTTTCCATAGTTCTAGGAGTGTAGCTGGTGGGCAAGCACATCCTGCTATCGATTTAGAGTAACTATAAGTAGAGAAATTACACATGAGAATACGGACGGTAGGCGTACGGCTGTTTGGAAGCTGTCAGAGCGTTGGGGCAAATGCATAAAGAGAGGCACCTTTAATGCGTATTAAAATGCCATCATTCTAGTCCGACTAGCTCAGAAAGTCCGCCGTATGCGCTTGTGAAAGCCTAATATTGGACACCGTGTTTGCCTGGTGGTAGTCCATCTCCGTCTTTCATGGCCTTGTATATAAGACCCTCGTGAACCTAGGTTTATAGCGAGACGATAAAAACAAACCTAAAGATGTTTGCCAACTTGAGTGGACTGGGAAAAAGTTTGCTGGAAATGAACATACTAGACGTTTTCTTTTTTTTTTTTACAGTGTCAAATTGTTATCGAATTAAGATACGCAATGTCTCTCATGAAATTTCATAAGACGGTAACTACAAGTTTTAAGGCTTACTGCAGTTTGTTAACAACCCCGCACTTTCTCGTGAGGGGGAGGATAACGGGTTAATGCGGAGGCTTAAGCTAGGGAGCACCAAATGATAACTTCCGGCTTACCATTCAGGAGTTTAACGATTCTTTTGCCTCGAAACGCCTCTGTTTATGGTAATAGTAGTATCTAGCTCCTGTGCAGTGTGTTTAGGTCTGTGTTTCGAGTTTTACGTCCGGTCCCGAATCATCGGGCTTTGGTTTGTGATGGCGGGTAGGACAGATGAACGTCCAGCAGGCAACCTCCAATTTTTTCCAATGGCACTACAGACGGCGCCAACAAAAGAGAAGAGACGCCATCGCTTCGGCTTAGCAGTGCTATTAACATCGCCGCTACCCATTGCGATGTCTGCCGGTGAGTGAGAAGAAAAGGGTAGATTGTTGGTCGATTGTCGCGTCTACCAATTCCTGGTTGACTTCTTTGCCGTTGGGGGCTGAGCGTAATATAGAAATTCGGTGCTGTCTCGACGCTGGTACCAATCGGATGGGTTGAAGAAGAAATCGGTCCGTCGATAGCTGTACTGGATGGAGCAGGGTTTTTTTTGCCGAGCGTGCATGAACTAGCCACTGCAAAGTTGTTTGCTAGCTGGCTGCTAGCTTAAGCAGTTGTATAGCTTTCGCGTGTATCGGTCGAGCTACGATCGTTAGTCGTGGAGTAAACGCATAGTGCCGTTATTGCCTACAGCATTGTACGCTGAACTTGAAAATCGAAACCGACAATCGACATTTGCGCAGTTATTGATATCTCTTTTTAACAACAAACGCAACGGCTAAACGTTGTTTTAGCACATACGCCGCGAGACCTCACTTGTTTAGCTGATCCTCATCCAAAGATCGAAGATTGTGTTATAGTTCGTGCTGGTGATTGTTGAATAGCAGTCGATTAAAACTTAAGTGTCGAACTGTTTTGATCGTTACATCCACATATATAACAACAAAGTGAGTGGCGTTGACTTTCTTCGTTCACGTAAGTTACAAATATTCACCTACTTCAACCTCCCTGTATGCGCGTACGTGAATGCGTGTAGGGTAAACAAATCGCTGAAAGTTTGATTGAATAGAAGGGCTGTTATTGTTCATGCTTCTTGTAGTTTCTAGTTCTCACTTATATTGTGGCAGACTGTAATTTTTCGCGCACCGAGCTGTATATAGCGATTCATTTTACCAGGGTACGATACCTATTAAAGCTATCCCTGCGTCAATGAGATTCGATGCCATTATTGCCAAAAAACCAGTGCTGTTTATCGAAATTTGGGCTTGCAGGAGAAAATGCGCTGAAGTGCAATGGCACAAGATATACACACTCTTCTTGCAATGTTCATATAACTTATTTACTTGCATACACCTGGAGCAAGGAGAGTCGTTGATCCGCAAAACATATTGATTATGTGATCCTGCAAATTTTAGCCGCAAAAATATGAATGAGACCACCGTTAAATTTTATTCCAGTCATTAGCGCTCTTTGGTGCCTTTAATAGAGATTCTGTCGCACTACTTTGTCGGCCCCCTCAACCTATTCGTAGGGTAATAAATGTATAACGGCCTTTCCGTCCACGGCTTAAATGGATCAACCCCTCGAAGTGTTAATCACTTGCATTCCGCCATCGCAACGGCGGATATTATTTTCGTAGAACGTTGTTCCTGATTAAATTTAATTCTTGTTGGAGTTTCATAAAACTTCAACGTTTAACCATGAAAACATCCCAGCTTCGCTATATCATTATTCATCTAACGATTATTGAATAGTCTCCCATCAATTGTTTTACTCACACTTCCTCTTGCCCTATGAACACTTACTTTAGCTTGGGCATAGACCATATTTCTGTCAGTTTCGGCCCATCCTTTCTTCCTCTACAGAACTTCTCTCCTAATGGTTTTTCGCAAAAAAGCCATTTCCCTCGTCTAGTATGTTAAGAGAAGTTATAATTAATTCTGCAGATCGAATTGTTCATAAACATTTACAATAACGTAGCACGTTTAAAAAACGTGCAGATTTTCGTGTAACGTTTATTGGTGATTGAGCACAGAGATACGACCCTTATTCTCGTTTCGTTAAGGTATCCTTCTAAAAAGTGGGTTCTACCTAACTGTCGACATCTTCTGCGAGTGCCACCTTAGACAGAGAATCACTGTATTTATCAACGAGCGGAAAAAATCACAACAACTAAATAGTCCGTTTTCATTCATTCATTCGTTAGTTCATCCACTTATTAGAGCCAATAACTGATCGTTAATGTACTAGTGGCTCTCCGCTTTACTCTCGTTACGTTCTCTTCGGAATGGCAAAGTCACAACGTTAAGAATCCTGGACAGAGCAGCAGTACGACCATGGTAAACATTTTGCGCAGGTTCTACTTGGTGTTTATTTATTTGTGAGCATTACGATAGTACGAAATGTCTTGCATACGCTTCTAGTTAACTGAAATCACTGTGCACGATTCAGAGTAAGCGTACGCTCGTACAGCACGCCGAAACCCATATAAAAGTACATAGTTTGTATTTCTACGAATTATGTGTACGGTTGTACCCGTGCTTTTAAATGCCGTGCACTATAGCGTTGATGTTTACATATTGGGAACCATTGCAAAACCAAACGACTTGAACAGGATACCGCCATGGATTGCTACAGGTTATCTGGTGCAGCTGGTTTTCCATTAATTGAGATCAGGCACAGAATTAACGATTTCCCTAGCATGGTTTTCGAGCCCGCAGAATGTTTCATTCGCATAACGTATATACGAAAACAGCTGTTGTTGTTTATGATGTATACCAACTATATAAAAATTACCTAGATTAGCACGGCCTAAATTGGCGATATATATATATGTTTAGAAGACATTCAGAGGACCGTAGAATGTGTACCTCTTTTGTAAGGACCCCACTTTATACTTGGCTTAATTTAGCCCCTGGTGAATAGCCTAAAAAGTAACCCATAATAACCAACTACAATGGCCATATGTGTTGTGCCGGATTTTAAGAACTGTTCGTGTTTTAATTAACAGACATTGTATTACATTGATTTGTTCCTCTAGTCTAAAACTAGCACAACTATTTGTACGCTTTGTCACAATTGACTCTGTGCTATTAAAAATGTATACCTCATGTGATACGTCACGTTCATGTAATGTTGCCTAATTAGTAAATTGTACATTTTCAATGTGATTTCAATATGCGTTCAACCGTGATAAGCATGAGCTGAAAGATTCTTCATGTACGAATATTTAAATATTACGTGAAAAAAAAGGGTGACCTTGACTAAAAACGCTTTAATTAAATTTCTGAGAAAATGTTTTGTAATTTTAATTTTAATTTAAGAAAATGTTTTGAAATTTTTTTTATTTAAAGATAAAATATTTTATCTAAAGATAAATATTTATTTATGGATAAAATATTTAGGATACCGCGTTCGAAAAAGTCAACAAACAAAAACTAGTAAGTTTTCATTCAAAGATGTTAGTGATTTTTCTCAAAGAACGTCAGTAAGGTTACTGGGCTACACAATACTGACTTTAGTGCAGCCAACTCAGTTTAGTCAACGCTATACCCAAGCAGACAGGTTCCTAGAACAACTAGTTAACACCCTTATCTCACCGTGACTATATTTTCCGCATTTAAGTCAAGTAGGGTCGCTCTTGAAGAAATTGAGGCTCATTGAAAGAAAGGCTTTTACGACAGATAAGCGTGACAGGTCGATCTACAAAGATACCTTCCATTAGCTAGACAAATTCTAGAGCTGTTCTGTTTTATTGTGGTAGCATTGTCTTGTACTATGACGATAACAAAAACAATCTGAGGGTGTAAACTGTTCTATTGCAGTCGACCAAGATCTATTATTCAAGAAAAAGCACTATTTATTGCGATAATTTAAGCTGTCTAATCACATGCTAGTCCTCCTCAGCATTGGGAAATAAACGTCTGTTGAAAAATCCGTACACTTTTGCAAAAGTGAAATACGTATTTTTTTACACAAGGCTGTTTTATGGCAACAGCAACGGATAAGATACACCTAATACTGACACATATATCATAACAACTCGGTTTCGGTAACAAAACGTCTTTGTCTGCAATTAAAACTGAATCAATTGAAAATATATCTGCATATTGTTTCTCTTCATCGCTGAACAACACTACGAGAAGGCACCTTAATTTATGTTGCCGAAAGTAGCTTGCAGATAACGAAATACTTGAGAAGTAGTTTTTGCCCCTCACTGTTTTCATCGTCAATTTAAGTAATCAATTTTTACCCTCTCTAGTGCTGTGTAAAACGATTTACATGGCTATCAGGGACTCACATTCGACAGACGGCGTAGGACATGGATGTTAATCATTGTAGATGTTGGTTGACAAATTCATTCGTTTAAACTGTATTTGCAGACATTACCTCCACCAACCTACAGCATCTAATCGGCCACGATTCGGGACTGTCTTTGTATCATAGTTCCTCGTTTTTCTTGGTCCTAAACACTCATCTAGCTGAATTTCACGAATACCAGGATATCTACCTCGCTAAGGCTATCAGCAAGGTTCCAAGTCCATTTGACAGGTCAGTTAAATTGATGTGAACTTTGCTCGTAGTCATACTTTAGAAACGAATATCAGCTATTTAGTAGGCTAGCCAGCCTGTGTGTCTCTTTCAAGACCCGCCAAAAGATCGAACATCAGTCTACTGTCTATGCTGAAAATGAGCAGATTCAAGTGCCAAAAATGTCGAAAAGAGCTGTTCGACGCTGCTTTTGTACTGACCAGTCACTCTGAACCGTGGACAGTAAGTAAGGCTTCGCCCTGCTCTGCAGGCCATACAGTGTGGTACCTTAAAGATGAAGTCGTTGAAACGTGGCTTCAAACCCAGCTGGATAGCAACGAATGGATTAAAGGAAAGATCAACTGCCCGAAGTGTAACCTACGCCTTGGATCATTCGATTTCGTTAGCGGCAAACGGTGCGGGTGTGGGAAACATATGCTCCCACCGATACACATCGTAAAGTCGAGAGTCGATCATGAAAATTCCGAGATTCTAAGGCAGGCACTGAACCAGTTCGTACAGATACCTTTAAATGATTTTAATGGCAACGGTAAGAACGAAGCCATCGATCCAAAAACGTTAACGACTATTTCCAAGTTGGAAGTTCCCACAGCAGCGACAGCTGTCTGTGCGTTGAATGAGATCTATACAGAGTAACGTGTATATACCAATAAATCAATAAGGACACGAGCTTATGGTCGTTTAACTTTAACGTGAATATATACAAAACGAATGTGTACGTGCTGTTAAGACAGAATTGGTTTTGGCAAGAATTGACAGTAAAATAGGGTCAAAGCTGAAATGTTATTGCAGAAAATCAACAATTGTGATATTCTGTTACAGACAACAATATTCCTTAATTTGGTAAACCTTCGGTTTCGTCCCGATATTCGTCAACGTGTACACTATGCCCTCAAATAGACGATACCTGCATAAAAATGTATAGAAATAATTCATTTTTGTTCCACTTTAGCTGCAGAGCAGCCAAGTCGATGCCAGCGAGCCCGTGTAATATGTGAGTGGTGGTATATTTATATGTATTGTAAATAAAGATCGACTGAAATGCTCTTACGGTAAATATTCTGTTATTCTTATAAGATTACTGATAGATTGTAAAAAAAGGGTGTTAACTGAAGATCGAAGAAGACTGGTTTCGTATTAAATTGATTTTTATTATTATCTCTCGGAAATGATAAAGCTAAGGCGCGAAGTGTCGACACTAAGCATTAATTATTCGTAACTAAAGTAAGCGAGACTTTTGCGTTCGCCGAATGAAATATAAGCGTTAAATTTTTGATTTTCATGTCGGCCTCACTTGATTAGCTAGAAACTTGTGGGAATTGTTTGGCCGTCAGCGTGACACAAGGATTAACCCAATTCGCAAGTAATGAAGAGACTATTGACAAAAAGCCGAAGATCTTCCTCTAAAATAGACTTTTCCTTTTTGACGAATGGAAATGATGGCAATTCTATGCATTTTTTCTTCATATTGTTATAACATGATCCGATGGTGACAATTCAGAGCGAAATTCATTAGCGAAATATGTTGATAAACAAACAGAAGTTTAGATGCATGAATGGGAGCTATTCTTAATAATTATTAAATCTAATATATCCTCTTTTTTGTAGGAAAATTATTTCTCATTTGTATAACATAAACTTCCTGTGACTTGGAAATCGATAAAAATCTACATGGAGAATATATACGCATAACACTATCTTCGCTTACTAGTGAGCTGACACTTCCCTTTAGTAGTAAATTTTAGAACGAAATTTATGCATGCATATTGTTTGTCATACAGTAGAAATCCGGTTTTCGTATTTTCAGTGTTATCCAAAAAAAAACTTGTCAGTTTTTCAAACTTGAATTTTCGGTTAGAGTTCTTGTAAAGTTCGTCACAAATATTCCTGAAAATTCTGCACTAATTTGACTCTAAAAAAACATTCTTCTTGCCAGTCAACGAAACGGCCGATCGATATTTTCACAGCTATTTCATTTGATCTTGAAAAAGTACGCTAGCCTGTTTTATCACCCACTTCATTATATGTAGAACTTGACTGATTTGTCAGATTGGTTATATTAATATGTCAGCATATATTTATTAAGTCAATGTGTACTGTTAACATAATCTTGTTATAATGAGTCTCAGATTTCGATTGGAATAGCTAGTTGAAGCCATGAACTCATTGATTAACATAACAGTCGTATCCACCTCATTGCCGCCTGTTCCCGCTTGCAATTCTCTAGATAAAACGATGTACTAATTCCTATCTGTTTGGCGGACTTCAAGGAGAAATAGAGTTTTATCTAGTTAGTGAATCTATGAAACCAGAAGGAGATTTTGTAATAGAGATCGATAGATGTCAAATATTATTAGAAATTTGTGTTTAAGGGGTAAAGTAGCTGCCTTTTGCCTCTTGCATCATATTCATGCAAAGTTACAGTAGTTATGAGCAATCGTTTCACTGAGTGGAGCCATTAATTTGTTGTATACGCCGAGCGTTAAGCCTTGTGTGATTATAAGACAATCTTGAGAGTTGTTCTAAAGTATATCTATTCCAATGCAGAGGTGCTCATTTAATAGAGAGAAGTTTCGATTTCTAAGGAATTCTTATGTCTTAACTGGTGGTGGTGGTAGCCTCCTCTAAGCATACAACAGTGAAACTATGTAAACCTTCTTCCGTGCCTAAACATCTGCATATAATGGACACGAAGTGAATTGTGGTTACCACATGGCTTTCTATGCCATGTGATAGACTTTGCAAAGGTCATTTGACCACGATAGTAGTGAATAATAACACTGTTCTTAAAAATAAGTATAGTTAATTCAGTACTAAAACAAGTCTTAACAAATACTCTTCTTACAACATTTTTTTTTCTTACAACAAACTTCTAACATAGAAATTTGTTTTTGTCCATAGAACATCTCAGTTATCTTCTACTAGTAGTGTTTACTGTAATGTTGTTTATATTTGCGTTAGCTAGAACTAGTAACTACGAAAGTGGGAAGATAACAGTAACCCAAAGTGGAGTGACTTCTCTTTACAGGTGAATTTCGACGCAATAGTGAAACGAAATGGCGTTCGACACAAATGCCATGACATTGACCCGTTTCGTGCTGACAGAACAACGCAAGCATAAGAGTGCCTCAGGGAACCTCACCCAGTTAATCACTTCACTGCAAACGGCCATCAAAGCAGTCGCGTCCGCCGTACGACGAGCCGGTTAGTACTGGTTGTATCAATATCCCGCATATAGTACGAGATGTTTCCTTGTTTTCTACGCGTGATTGCCATTCCTAATTGAGAACGTGTCGCATTGCACTGCTGATTGAAACATATTCGGAGCCATTGTTCGACCACTCACGAAATGTACTAAATTTTACTGATTACTTATCATATAATCTTCTTGAGCGTGTCGTACAGATTCACCCATAACAAGTGGCATAAATGGGTCACACGAAACCTCCTTTCGCGATCGCTACCCCTCGAGCCCTATAACCAACAATATTTACTCTCACCGTGGCGCCATTTCGGTGTTCAAATAGGTCTGCCCTTTCCCCAAAATGGCAACTTGCAGGACTGCCGTCAACAACTGCGGGGTGCTCACAACGTAAAGATCTGCATTCAGTTGTTGTGAACGCAGGCAGGGCAGATAAGCTTTTCAGCGTTTGCAAAAAAGATTGGAAAGTTTGATGAATCGAATACTGCTGTCGCCCTAAACTGTGGCTTCAGGTATCTATTGGTGTACCAATACGTGTGCGTGGTGGCATAAACAGCTATCGCTTCATAAGCAGGTGACGTCATCGGTGAACTTATTCGAATCGACTGGGATAGAAGACACCGCCTAGCGGCGACAACACTTGGTCGCAATGGATTTTGATAGTCCCGAAGCAGAGCAAGACTTTCCCGGCCTTTATACCGAAGACAAGATAGGCGGTGATGATGAAAGCAGGAAGATATTGTCGGTTAAAAAGAAGAAAGATAAAGATAAAGACAAGGGATACAAAGCGTTCGAGGAGGACGGCTCCGGGGGATCCACTGAAGACCTCAACAAGGGCTCGTCATCTCGAAGGTTTAAGTTCGGCAAATCTAGCTCGAAATCGAGCAGTAAACCTGTTAAGGTAAAGCTCTTCGGTGTCGAACTTAAGGATGTCGTACAAAGAAATCCCAGTGACGAGCCAAAACGACCACTTGTCCCACGATTTTTATTACGGGCGTTAAACTATCTCGAAAGAGAGTATAAGCCAGGCATGAACTTCTACAAGGGGACGTCTCATTATAAGTCTAAAATTCACGTTGTGCGACATGGTCTAAATTATGGGGAGGAGCTACCGCTTCAAGACCCTCAAATTGTGGCTGGACTCGTTAAACTATTCGTACGCGAACTTCCTTGTCACATTTTGGGGGCGGTCATCGAGTCCAAGTTGGAGGAGGCGCGGCCTTCAGAGAAGAAAGCACAGAAAATTCAAAATCTGTACAAAAATGAAGTTTCTGGAGTAAACCGAGCAGTCTTCGAGCGTTTAGTCCTTCACATGGACATAATTGGAATCGATCTAACGCCGTTGCTTCGGGTTTCCCAAAGGGCACTAGCGCTTCTAAAGCCAGTAATGTCTCCGCTGAGCGTTGAGGACGAACTGAAGGTCGAAGAGGCACGCTTAGCACGTATGCACGCACAGGTGGCTACGAAAGAAAATGGAAGCAAAGATAAAACTGGTTCAAAGGATACTAGCAAGCATAAAGATAATGAAGAAAAACTTTGGGAAGCGCAGCGTAACGTCACCCAGTTGAAACGAAAGCTTAAGCAGATGAATTCTGTAAGCCACACCGATGACAAGGAAGTCGAACTCAACCTTAAAGAACGTATAGAAGATCCAGTAGTCATAAAGGATGACCACAAAAAAGAAACATTTTTAAAGAAGGATCAAGAACCTATATCGGCGATAGTTGAGGAGCCCCGCACCAAATCGCCTGCAAAGAAGGAGCAATACAAAGAGGCTTATACAGCTCATCATAACTCCGCATCACGAATTAAATCAGAGGAACTTGACAGTAACCGGCAAGTTGAAGAGAAAAAAGTAGAAGTTCCTAATGATAGTGAGCAAAATACAGTCGAAGACTCCATGGCCCCAGTGGCCAAATCCGAGACCGAAGAGGTCAAGGCAATGGCAGAAGCTCTAGACCCTGGAACACACGCTTCTGCGGAGAAGATCTCACCAGTGTCAGAACCTAAGCACGATCAGATTCTCCAGCCAGTTCCAGTTCCGCCGATTGAGGCAAAACCGCCATCACTACCATCGGCAACAGCGATTAATAAGCCTCTACGGATCTCATCCCCAGTAGATAACCCCACCCATATAGTGCAAGATATACAGAACGTTTTTGCAGATACGACTTCATTCGACCAAGTTGTTGAGTCGTTTCAGACTAACACAATAGGAAGTGATTCCATTGTGGCATCAACCTCACCTTTTGGCCCGAGCAGCGAGCCTATATTAAACGCTACAGGTCCGCCTTTACCTGAGGCACAGCTAGTCAAGCCCGAGGCGCTAACTGGAAAACCCCTCGAAGACGCCGAGCTGCGTCGTATACAGCAGGAATGGCGGTTTGTACTCGCCGAACAAGTCGAGCTACTGCGAATGAATCACGATCTGAAGCGTCGAATTCGTGACGAGTACAAACAGATAAAAATGATCCAGATGGTCCGGAATCATAAATCGCGTCTTTCCCAGATCAAGCCAATGTACCATGATCCGCTAGAAAAGATTCCAACGGACAAGCTCTGTGAGGTGCTGCAACGGCTTATTGAATCAAATACGAACCTCACGAACGCAACGAAGGCAGTCGCCGCTCAAGTTTTTGATGAAAAGCTGGCTGTTGCTAGGGCGCGAGCACTGGAAAGATGTATCAGCCTTAACTAAAAGAAAAACATGCCTTTCGGACGGTATCATAGTGGATGCTAAACGGCGTGGTAAAAGGACCTAATTTTTACAGCGATACACATGGTCGCAAAAGTAGCAATGCAACCTTGTTACGTGCGTGCCTTGTGTTTGATCAGCTTTAATAATAATTTTTAAATTGGACGAAACATATTCTGTAAAGAAAATGGCTATAGCAATATGTGGCTGCATATCAATCTAGAACAGAGCACATGATATCTTAACTCTGGTTCCTAAAGCCTCCTTTAAATATCTTGTGACCGACCTTTCATCATAGACACAAATACAGGTTTAAATAACCCTCCGCATGTTACATAGTTTTGTTTATGATTGTGATTTAAAAACACTTCGGTTTTCGCGACGAATGGTTCGAGTGAATAATACCAATCAAATAGGGAAATTAATATTTCCCTATAAATATGAGATTTCTGGATGTTCGCAGTGAATTTATACGACATTCCGTCATGATGATACTACCACATTATGACTATACGCTTTGATGATGTTATCACATTATGATAATACGCTTTATCAATTTAGTCCGCCATCACTGGAATTATATAATAGTTAAAGCGCATATTCATTGATATCTAATGCATGATAATACTGCTAATTTTTTTTATCATCGTTATACTGTTGTTGTTGTTTTTCGTATTACTATTACGTGCAATGTATAACAAGTACCATAGGATTCCCCATAGTGGAATAGCACAACTTTATTGCTTTACTTAACAGGCCAAGAACGAAGCCGATGGCAAGTTCTCGATAAAAAATATTAAATGGGTGAATATGTCAACGTGTGTCCGAGAAATTATTACTCGTCAAGGAATTAATTTTGTGGTGGGAATAGAATATTCGGATCGTAGCTGCTGCTATTAGCGTTCATTATAAGCATCACCTCGCATTGAAACAAAAACCATTATAAAAATCAACAATCAAATTGTAACGACTAGTAAATGGCGCAAAAAATGTAAATATACGTATATATATTGCTATCTCGCGCACACACTTGTGTATTTGGATTCTGCAATTCGCTTCAAGTCGAAAAAGAGTCTGTAGACCTTAGAGATAAAAAAAAAGTTCCAAGTTGTATTTGGTAAGGCCCATGAAATTGCTAACAAGTTGAAATAAATCGAACTTCACGTCTTTCTATGTAATATTTTACAAATACATGAGAAACTGAGCAGAAAGTATAATGGGTTAATAAAAAAAAATAAGCATATTTTAAAAGCATTTCTAATAAAAAAAATAAGCATATTTTAAAAGCATTTCTTGAGTACTCTTTGTATAATAAAAGTAATCGGAGTACTCTTTGTATAATAAAAGTAATCGGAGTGCTCTTTGTATAATAAAAGTAATCATAATCTGAAAGTCGACTAAAAAACTCATCATTGGCATTGCTCTTCGATATTGGTACGTGAATGAAATCGAAAGCACACAAATTCGATTTGCACGCTGACTTGTTTTGCGTTTTTTGACGTGGAACACTGCACGCTGCATTTAAGCCATCCGTTTGAGCCTTTACTCTTTGAAGATCATCCATATCAGTATAAGCATCTAACTTTTAAGATTATACTAGTATTATTGTTTTGGAGAAATGACCTTAGCGAGGGTGGAAGCAAAAAAATTGGTTGTTTCTGACGTTTTTCGCCAGTCGCAGACTGATAGCATCTTGTTAACAAGCCGTTAGAATTGTGATATATATATTACTGCACCTAATAGATAATATATGTAGTACCATAGTGAAGCTTCTTATCTAAAGTACTTCTGTATCCTGTCAGGTATCGCCAACCTCTATGGTATAGCCGGTAACATCAATGTTCAGGGTGAGGAACAGAAAAAACTGGACGTTTTGGCCAACGATCTGTTTGTTAACATGCTCAAGAGTTCCTTCACAACTTCCTTGTTAGTTTCGGAAGAGGATGACAAGCCTATTGAAGTTGAAATCGAAAAACAGGTAAACATTGGTATTCTCTTAGCTTATTGGTAGTGATTGAACGTCCTTATGGAAACCAGCCAAAGTGTTTTTACTAGACACATATCTTTGTCTTTTTTTTTCAAAAAAGATGCTGTTCTGTTTGTTCTACTTAGTCTAAAGTGGACTTCTCGTACCCACCTTTTTCATAGGCTCGAAGTTGCCGAGTCAGTAACCTGAGTGCAACTCAAACTGTCTTTGAACGACATAAGGTTTTTTCAAACAAAAAGATGTTGTTTATATACATTTCAGGGCAAGTACGTGGTGTGTTTCGACCCTTTAGACGGCTCATCGAACATTGACTGCCTCGTCTCAATCGGATCCATTTTCGCTATTTACAAGAAGGTTTTTATGACGTTATTATCTATAAAAAACACACTATTAGAAAGGCAGGTTATGGCTAGCCAAATCGAGGGTTCAAGTGATCGCCAGCGAATTTTTGGAATTTTGTTTGAATAATTTTTTATATTTCTATTATGCAAGTTAAAATTTTGATCTTGTAACTATTGAATAGTAGTTAAAAAAAAAAACGAAATTACATGAATAAATTTCGGTTTTTTTTTTACTTAAACAGCAAAACAATACGGAACAAGACGCTCTGCAACCGGGTCGTCAGCTGGTGTGCGCTGGCTACGCGCTATACGGATCAGCCACTATGGTGGTTCTTGGCCTTAAAGGAAGTGGTGTCAATGGCTTTATGTTGGATCCATCCATTGGAGAATTCATCCTTACGGACCCTGGCATGAAGGTTCCACCACGTGGAAACATTTATTCAATTAACGAAGGCAAGTGGTGAACATACATTGTGTGCAATAATACCGGAGACTAGAACGTAAGTGATCAAAATTAAAGAGCAACGATAATGATCGTAATAAGACTTATAATTTCTGTTAAGCACTTCATGATAAGCTGCTATAACTGCTTCAACTAAATTCTCAACCTTTTCAATTTAGAGTACACAACAAACGGAACACTTGGCCTCTAAAAATAGGTATTTTTCTAACATAGTGTACTGACAAATTGTAAATACAGGAAGTCATTCAAACTGTAACAACACAGCGTATTTAATATTAATGATATTGTAATTGCCGCTTTTTTATATCGATGTTTGACATCATAGGTTATGCTAGCAAATGGGATGCGGCAGTGCGAGAGTACGTTGAAGAGAAAAAAAACCCAAAACAAGGTAAAGAATATGGAGCTCGATACATTGGATCGATGGTGGCTGATGTGCATCGAACGCTCAAATACGGAGGTAACTTTAGGGAAATCAACCTATAGATACAATAAATTAATATAGAATTTTATGGGACGTGTGCTCAAGAGCATACTGACTACTGGCATCATGTATCCCTCACTTTTTTTTACATTCATAGTACAGGCATATCTCCCTACGGATAGAAACTTTTCCGATTGAACTTCAGCCAGTTTTTTCAGTAATAATCGCCGCGCTGGTGTCATTTATAAAATGTATCTAAATTTATAAAATTTAATTTATAAAACTCTTGTCAAAAGTACATTTGATTTTGGTTTTTTCTACGAATGCTTTTTTCGTTTTTTTTTTTGCGGTTTTTTTGCGGTTATCTCAACGTCATTTTAGGTATCTTCATGTACCCAGCGATGGCGGATGCCCCCAATGGCAAACTGCGCTTGCTCTATGAATGTAACCCAATGGCATTCATTATGGAGCTTGCAGAAGGCAAGGTAACCTATGCTTAGGAAAAATTTCCCGTCGCCTTTTTTCTGTAGTAGAAATTCATTTTAGTTAACAATTTTCAAAGACTAGTAAAGCGACACGATGCACCTACCTGTTTGCCTTTGTCTACTCACTGAGGTTTGTTGTTGTAAAATCGACTTCAAACTTTATACTTTATGAACATTCACCGCATATCCGAAGCGCGCAATCTGGCCCGTGGCCATCGCAAAATATCAACTTCCCTTCAAAATACGATATTTCAAGTGCCCATCATATTCTTACGTAAATATATTTGTTTCATTCTTCAAATTTCAGGCTTCCAATGGAAAAATTCCAATCTTGGATGTTGTGCCGACCAGCTTGCATTGTCGCCAGCCGATCTTCCTTGGGTCGCCTGAGGACGTCGATGAGCTGCTCGAAAAATACAAGAAATTGGATAACAACAATTAAATGCTTTATTAAAACAAACCTACCGTGGTTATAACAAATATAGTCTAAAAGAATGTGGAAGCACAATATAAGACGTACACAATGAAGAATAGATTAATGCAACGCTTTCTTACATTTGTTTATTTCACCAATAAAACACGTATACGCACCAAACAAATGATGCTTTTTTTTAAATTTTGCCATATTTTCATTATAATTAAGTCTATGGTTTAAAACGATGTGCTCAACCTTTTGACAGTGTTCATTATTCGTGTTATGCATACATGACGTTGGAGGACACAATTTTTTTGTTTATTTGTGTGTCGAGCTCTATTTGATTATGCACAAAAGGATTCGAAACAACGCAAAGTACACTGGCATAATTCACCAGACATTGTCCATGAAAAAAATCGAATTCAATCCAATAACCTGCATTATGTAAGACTACACAATATATTACATGCGCGCTAGGTCTAACGGTAATATGAAAATATATTTCAGATAGCGTTTTGATATGAGCAAGTTCATCATTTTTCTCACAAAGGGAAACATGCTAACGAAAATTCAACGCAATCAATAAAACATTTCAGGCCGCTGAGTTATTTTGTTATTCAATCGAGGTTTTTCAAAAATTCTATATATATTTTTTTTATTTTATTATTTTAAAAAATATTATACACTATTTGTATAATACTGAAAAGCGAAGTAAAAAATGAACATTAGCAGTATAGATGTACGAGAAATAAAAACATTGTGTCTCAGTAAACTATTATTTATTGATGCCATTTGTGCTAACATTCGCTGTGTTTAATCGGGCTCTGTTATGCCAACATCATTTCTGCCTTTTACCTAGATTCGAAAACATCCACGCGTTCTTGCTGCGATTTACAAACATTTATTTCAAGCAATAGAATAATATTAAATACTTATATAATCCATGCATTATGAACTACTCACTGCTTTATTCGTTATGAATGTAAAATACCAGAGATGTTTCAATCCCTATATCGGAAAAGTTTACTTATCTTAATTCCTTTCATTAACTGTGTAGACGTGCATGTGGCTCTCTGTAAATATGTATGTTTTATTGTCCGCGTATCTTATTCTACATCGTCTGTCGCTAGCAGCCGCCGCATACGAAGTTACGTGTTTTAGATTGAAAAACCCATCTTCTGTGACTTGAAGGAAGTCATTATTAATATCACAAATCTACTAATACTAATTTAATAATTATATCTAATATACAAGCAGGGAATTAGATATATTACTTGAAGATAGATCCTTACCCTAACGTGCGCTCTAATCTCTAAAGTCCTATTGAATCATACATTTCATGCTGAGAAGAGCCTCTATAATAAGAACGTATTATGGAAATAGCCTTGTTAAAGATCAAAGGTATCAAGGAATATACACGATATACGTAACATGGCCACCCGCTCTCTTAAAAATAAACAGTTATAATACTGCGTACCCAGCGCCGGGTCTTAAAACAGGTGCAGTTCTTTCAAAATTTTCTGCCTCTCTAGGCTTGTAATAGTTACCGCCACTAAGCCCTATAATAATAATAATAATAATAACAAGTATATGTTGCCACACAACTTCATAGGAACAATTACGAAACTCGTACAGGTTATTAAATGCATTTCATATTCATTGACAAATTCGTTGCTCTAAAAATTGCAAACATTGATTAATTCAGTAATGGAAGAATAATCTGAGCATGCAGCTCTTCATTAACATTTGTTTCCAGTTTCAACGTAAGCGTTGTCAAGTTGCTACGTGCATTCCAAGTCAAGCTGTCATTGTACTTATCACACATAGATCTGTGTTTAATCGACATTTATGTGAATGCATGGTACAAGTTAGGTAGCTATTTTTGAAGATACAAATTGACTACCATTGGTTGAAAAATCAACCAATAAAGAATCCTCTTCTGAGACCTTATTATACGATTTCATAAACTACCTAGGTTATTTGTCCAGCAATATGATTTGACTGAATTCTCTGATCGGTATGCACTGAACATAGTGTATACTCGAGACGTGTCTGAACGATAATATAACTAATTGTAAAGGAAACCTCATTTGAAAGCGGCGCACGTTATTCAGATTTTAGTTCACATAGAAGGCTACATGATTGTCTGTCGGTTGTGTCCAACAGATTCCGGCAGGAATCGTTTGTTTCGTGTTGACTTTGATGGATAGTTATAATGTTGCGTCAGACACCCTCGCTCACTGATACCTTAGCTTCATCTCACTGTATTCTGCCAGATCGAATTGGCATTGGGTCATCTGTTTCAACTACGCCACACTCGACTGCGCTCTCTTTGCCTTCAGCAAATATGCTAGCAAATTCTGAGAGTGCAGCTTTCGAGCTGAAAGTGGCCCGAAAACGTCGCCTCACGGGCGGTTTTTGAGAAGTATCCTGGGCCATCCAGATGCCATGCACCCCTGCAATAATCACATGAAGTACAGTAATAAAAAAATAAGCTGTATATACCTAGAGCTCTTTAATTATGGACTTATTTGATAAACGCATCGTGCTTCGATTATTTTCAATAATAACCTTGCAATGTACGCAAATGACACAATGAATTGAATACTTTAAAAAAATACGGGCACTTTATAAAAAAGTATTTTGCTTCAATGATCCTACTTCATTGGCGCGTTACTATCAGAATGATCGGGTTCCTCGTGATTACGTTTGACAAATGTACTAAAAAAAAAATTGTTCTCCCTATGTCGTGTAAATCAACAAGTTCAAAATCACTTGACGATTTCAGTGGTCGTCCGCATAATATACAGTTAGTAGGTGGTACATCGTCGTATCACATGCATAAGCTCTTTTAAAAAGTACGAACCATCTTCTCGCAGCGACGTCTGCACGGCGATCACCGTTTCCGCCAGTGTATTTCCACTTGGCTCATCGATGAGCAAAATCACTTGCGCAAAGATGTCGTCATCGTAGATGACCCGCAAAATGCACTTGTCGTCTGTGACAGGTTTCCAAGATGCAGCTCCAAGCGGGATCTCCTCAAACAGAAGTACTTTTGCCTCATACAGTATGCTATCACTGTCAGCATCTCCGCTAGCCACCTCACCTGCTTCACCACCTCGGAGCAAAGTATCAGCACCGCTCGGTGATTTCTCCGACGCACGGGCCCCAGAGTTCACTGCAACAACCGAACGCACAATAATATCAACCACAAATAGCATTCGTTTAGAGTAATTTTGCTGGCCATTACATAGAACCGGACTTCGTTGCACTTGGAATTCTCACATGCAAATTTCTTGACAGATAAAGCGTTTGACTTAAAATTTGAAGGAATTTGAAGAGTTGATTTTTTTTGAAGCAATTTGAAGAGCGTATGGAGATTTCGTCTCTGAATAACTGAAAACTGGATGCAGGGACGGTCAGTTGTACACAGGCGGCTTATCGGCATTTGGAAAAAAGCTGCTCAGTAGAGACGCTGTCGATAACCTTACGATGTTTCTTGCAACTCTGAACAATGTCAAGCACAATAAATATGGAATGCAACCTAATATGGGTGCGTTTCATTGACATATTAACCGCCATAGACCGTCCCAAGAACTAAAGCCATTACACGTGGGTGATCTATATCCATATATTTCTATCTTTTAAGACCTACTATTAAAACCTCTGTTTTTATTTAGATTTGTCCTTATGACTCGATTGCTTTGAAAACCATTTTTGTCATCAGTAAAATAAGTACAAACGTAATACAGGCTGTAATTAAACAACTACGAATTTATTAACGCATTCTTGGAACGATCCTCCAGCAGACACCAGGTTTCCAATTATCAATATAATATTCGTTTCCCGTTGCTATACTTACATGATTATTGTTTTTATTTTTATTATTAACTCGTCTCCGACCAATTTTTACTTCTATTCGCGTGTGCGGGGGGTGCCCGCTAATGCATATGTATCTATGTGTTTACAACCGTATTTATGTAAAATCTAGATCAGCGGTTTTAATCAATCGGTCCGCCTGACAATTCAATTCATTCACACATTCACTCCCTGCGTCCAGTATATTCCTTTGCATTTCCCCTCGTCCGGCAAACATTCGACGCGCCTCAAATAAGTGCGCCGAAAGACCTTGCTAGTTTGTCTCGTACAAAGATTATTCCGAAATCGGCAGCGATTTGCACATCAAGATCCAACTTACTGTAAAGCCCTTATACGATGAGTAAATCAATGAAATTAATCGCGCCTTAGTCGTTCCCTCCTAAATTTTCTTCTGTTGTAAATACTGCTGTAACCTGTGTTTAGGTTTTTTCGTCTCCGCAGATGCTGAAATCATAATGTTTTCGGCCAACAGAAACAACATAAGGAGAAAGCAACAACTACACCCAAAGCTATTATGCTTTGCAGAAAAAATGGAGTACTTTGGGTAGTAAGGGGTCGATTTTCTTCAAGCTTTACTAACAATTTCGTCGACTACTAACTTCAACCTGTTAGCCGAAGTCGACCTTACCCCTTGACACGACCTGACTGTTATACGTCCCGCCACATAGCATACACATGATATGCTTAAACAAGCAAGGATGAGCGATGTTATAAACAAAGAAAGCTTGTTGCAGTCCGAGGTGAAGTGGACAGAAGCAGTTGAGCTGTTAGATAAAGCACAATATTCTTTTCGTTTACTGCTAATACACAATTTCTCTTTAAGACGAGGAACATAACCTGGTCGCCAGAGATTCCGCCGCCAAGACCCAATACTGTACCGTTATGGGTCGCTTGCACACAGCTAGTAAGTCGATGAAAAAATCACGTTTACGACAAAAAGCACAATAGTAACTTTACAATGGCCGACAAATTTTTACATTAGGAATTATCGCCTTGGTAATTAAGGATGGACTAACAATTATTTTACTTATCAGCAGTTCAGTCCCTTTAAGAATCATAACTGAGGTTTATTTTACAGCATAGCCTTCTTCATAACAGTCAATTTTGGCTGCCAACAAAATTATACGCTTGTCTGCGTCGCATCGGTAAACATTGGAAAAATTGTCGAAGAAGGAGGGTGAACGGGCTACATGAGGCAGCTATCAAAATGTCGTGATTAAAAAACTAACTCTTTCCCCATTGCCGTAACATGCGCCAGGAGTTACTTGTTTGGCCATGAACCACGACCCCAGGCAAAAGGGCAGCAGTAAAAAAAAAACAACCTATGTTTACAGTCTTACTCAGCGGGTGCCCACTATTCAGCGGTTTTCCTGTATCCACTTTACGTGACGTTTGTGTATGCCTGTGTTTTCCTGTTTATTGTACAAATATTCACTTATTTGGCCTTTACTCTTTCCGGCCCGCTGTGTTTGTGATCAGTACGCACATTGATTTATAAAATAGTTATCCCCACGTGTGCTTTGGGTGGCTGAAATACAACAAGTGTTCGACAAAACCGGATCCAATTTGTCGACGCGATCATTTTTTGAGTCAACCAGTTTACCCTGCATGTTTGCTTGTTTTTGTTTCGTTATTTTGTATAAAGGTATAGAGAGAGCATTTCTCTGTAAGAGGATCTATTTTTTTCTTTTATCTAGCACAATCCGGATTTTGCCCTTGTCTGTTCCCTTAGGTCGCTTTCACTCATTTATGCGTTCATTTATTTGTGCCTCTTGTTCAACCGGTTTTCTTTTTCGTTGTCCAAAACTAGCACCCATTTCAGGAGGGACATGAACCACATCTCAATGCGCACCTTCATCAGCGCTCCTCTGCTTGCTCCGTTCAACCTCCTCGGTAAAAATCCGTCTGAATTCGTCGAGACGATCAGCGCCCTTAACTCGGATAGCGAACGTTGCTGGTGTCGGCTCACCGTCGGCGAAATCAATCGCGCACCAGGTCAACGAGCTATTTGAGGTCGCCATCGGCCTCAGCTCCATATTACTGGTAATGTAGTGATTGCAAGCCACCTTATGGACCTGTAAAGTTGATCCGAAGCAACACACAATAGGTTATTTCTAGTAAGCACATTTACAATAAAAATAGTTGCTACTTTAGCTATTACGAAACGTGAGCCTCTATTTTTGCCGGTGTGTTACAATATGATATATCATGATATTACCATATACAGATTATTTACTAACCATGTCTCTACGAACAACGATGCGCGCTCGGCCATCACTGCATCGCAAGATTTTTGCTTCCCCCAGGGCGCGCTCCTTCCATTCCGATGTGTCGGGATGGTACACGTAAAGTTTGGCCCTTTGCGCGTAAAGCAGTTCGTCATCCTCTTCGCCTGTATACACGGGGACCAGTTCTGGCAACGGGATCACAGGCTCAAAGTGGACATCGACCGCGGCCTCAACTTCTTCACCGGTGTCGCCCTCTTCTCCTGCGCCGGTTTCGCTCGTATTTGTTCCGTCCGCGGTAGCATTAGCCTTCTTTGTGAAAGCCGTGAAGAATGAGCGTTGGTTTTGGGGGTCTGCACAGGATAAGAAATTGAAGAACACAAGTAGGCACTGAGAAGAACGGAAGTAATCACTGAGTAGAGAGTAGACTTCAGTCTGTTCGCGCATGATAATCATGCAATGCAACAAGGGTGCATAAGAATTCGTGGAACACGCGATCAGAATCATCTTCGTAACTATCATAGATGTTGGGGAAATTCTAAACCATTAAAGTTAACTCAAGTAGTTGTGATACAGACGTGTAGAGTCATCTCGCAAAAAGCAGTTTGCTTTTTTAAAACATTCTGATTAAACTGCTCATTCTAAAAGGCATTTTAATTAATTTTTGTTATGAAAATGGATATTCCATGAAAGCAAAAGCAGTGTAGTTACAATAATTAGAAATTACTCTGCCACTGTACCTGTCCAAGGCGCCGCTGCATCTGCGGTAGTAGCGAAGTTAAACTCGACGTTCTGATTTACTTGCGCCAGTGAAGCGAACGACATGCCAGTAGACGAACCAAAGACAAATCCGCCACCACCGTTTTCACCACCCGGTGGCTTCTGGGTAGTAGAATCTGCAGATTGCGGTGGAAAAAATCGCTGCTTAGTGTCACATGCACATATCTCAAAAAAACAACGGATCGTAGCACTGATGTGCAACATCAACGAGTGAAAACCTCAACACTTCCAAGGTATACAGATCACACATGAAATTAGCTATCCCGATGTATTCATTGCAAACTAATTTAGGACATAATTGTTTTCGTTAACGTGCAAATCACGATGCAGAATCACGAAACACAGTAGTACTCAGGCGATCGTCATGCACGATCTTTTGCATGACAAAATACAAAGCCCGCAATTATTAATTAATAGTATTTGTTTTACTGTTTATGGTGCAACTATATAAATGTGCTACTGTGTCCCGTTGTCTATTTCGTTCAATTCTCCAGTTGTGACGACTGAACCCTGCACACGCCGATTCTCCCGAAACTTTTTGGCTAGTTCTATCAAATCGTTTAGACAACGCGGCTCTTAAACGTGTGTCCCGCTGGACGACGCCTATTCACCAGTTGTTTATCTGTAACTACAGTGACAGTGGGAGGTAGCGCCGCCTTATTGAAACATATATCCGAAATAAAATCATGCGTCTTTGGCCAAGGCAGGCCACGTACCATTATGCATCTCAGTTGCAACTGCCTTCTCAACTGAATTGAGAAAATATATGCCAAATCCACACCATTAACATGATAGAGTCAATAACATTATAGAGTAACATTTAAATCTGATACAAGGAATGTAGAACTTTTCCACTAGATGGCGTACAAAGTTACTATATACCTACAACAAGCTAAAAAACCATTCCCGTAAAGAAATCCGACAAGGTCAAGTTTTTAATTTATGTCCGTGGTAATCTAGCATTTTATGCTGCTTCTTGTGAAAAGTGAGGTCTAAAGTAAAAGTGAGGTAGCTAAAAGATTTGGATAATTTAATGTGTATGAGGATGGATAACCTTATGTGTGAGTCATTGGGCTGCTTTCACTCACCTGACTCAACGGCAGCTGTGGTTCCAAAGGTTGACTGCGCACCAAAGACTGGAGTGGGTCTTGCAGGACTAGCGTCCTTTTGGGCGAGTGATGATGGCAATGATATCGTATCAGTTTCAGTCGTAGCTGGATTTGTACTCACAGAAGTATGTATGGGTAATTCTTGTTCTTCGGGCGGGTCATTGTCGCAACCCCGACACCCTTTGCATTTTCGGCAACGCGTCTCGTACAGGAAGAAATTGTCAGGCAGCATGAGCTGTCGGGCTCGGGCAACATCTTGTGGTGATGCCTTTTCTTCTTTTACGAAAATCACCTCATTGTCAAAGGTTGATGTCGAAGTGCTACCAAAAAGATTTCTGCTAGGTCCAAACTTGAATTCACTTGATTTGGTGGTGACTGGGCTCTCCTTGTTTTCCAATACTTTGTTGTCCTCTAGCTTAAAGGAGAACGAGCTGGCGGGTGTTTTCTGCTCTTTGGACTTAGTATCCGATGATGACGAGATTTGTAGCGTCTTTACTGTGGAGGGTAAAGGTGTTCCTGGTAGGGCACTTGCCTCCGACTGGGCAATTGCAATCGTGTCTAAAAGCGCGTCACAGATTTCTTTCGTTTTAACACGTAACGCGAACAGCGTCGGCTCCGGCTCACCTTCGGCAAAGTCAATTGCACTCCATTCAATACTTCTCTGGTCTTCACGTCGCTTAAAGTTGATTTCCTTGGTAAGATAATGGTTAAGACAAACCTTGAACACCTGGTCGCGCCTCATGGTCAACCTGAACTTTTTGGAGAAAGGATCCTTCAGTAATTTGAAGTCACCGGTTCCCCTCTCTTTCCATTCCTTGCCGACGAAACGGTAGAGCTTCGCTCGATGCGAATAGACAAGTTCTTGGTCTTCCTCTCCGGTGACAACCTCGACAACAGGTGGAAGAGCAATCACCGGTGCGAAGTACACATCCTTTGATTCAGCTACCTCTTCCTCATCCTCTGAGGCGTGGCGAGCCTCAAACGAAAACTCGTGCTTCTGAGGGCTGCCAAATGTAAATCCCCCTAAGGAGTCTTTTTTTTCATCCTCATTTCCAACGATTTTGTTGCTAGGATCGGTACCGCTTGGTGTACCAAAGCCAAACTTTGGTGGTGACGTAGCGAGGGCACTTGAGGTGCTGGTGAAATTACTAGGCTGCCCAAACACAAAACCAGTAGAAGCGCCGCCTCCGAAAGAGAATCCAACAGATGTCGTCGAGGTTGTCGTGGAAGTTGTTATTGAGGCAGTTGAGGATGAGGCTGGCATGCCTAACGAAAAAGTAGAAGTAGGCGAAGTTCCGTTTTCTTCAGCATTTGATGATGAGATGCCGAATACCGGCTCGGAACTCGTTGCCAGACCGAATTTAAAGCTAGTTGTAGTCCCACCGGGTGCAGATGTTGCAGGTTTTTTAATTCCAAAAGAAAATGTGGGTTGGACAGTAGCAGAGCTGACTGGTGACTTCGTGCCAGGCTTAGGATTACTACACGCTACGCACGTCATATCCGAGGCGGAATTAGGGACATAACATGTCGTACACTCCCACGAACCTGCTTTCGGTTTGAATTTATCCATGAGGTTGTTAGTAGTTGCCCCTTCCTTTTGTTGGACCTTGCTCGTTGTTGGCTTTTGAAGATTTTTCGATTCCGCAGCTTTTACACCGTTTTCAAATGTTGTCCTAAACCTACTGGCCTGTTCAGCAGTCTTGAAACGAACCACGAACTGCTCATTTTTAACCTCTCCATCAGCAAAATCCGGTGCTGCCCACATTAACTCGGTGTCCTTTGCGCGCTTTTGTAACTTAAGACCGGCAACAATTTGGTGGTTGGCACAAAGCTTAAACACTTGCTCGCGCCGCATGACTACGCGGTACTTACCCGTATCCTTATGCCGCAAAATTTTCAGATCACCCAAACCGCGTTCTTTCCATTCTTTTGTATCGCCAGCAAAACGGTAAAGCTTAGCTCTTTCGCAGAATATCACATCTTCACTCTCCTCACCTGTAGTAACCTCGACAAGGTCTGGAAGCTCGATGACTGGTTGGAAGTGCGCCGTCGGTTCGTATTCGTCCACGTGTTCGCCCACATCCTTCGAGTCTTGGATCTGTGGGGATAACTGAACACCTAAGGAAGCGGAAGCACCAGATGAAGTGGTATTGTAAAAGCTGAACGTGGGCTTTATAGTTGTTGTCGGAGTCACCGGCGAAGTTGTCGAGAAGCTAAACGTTGGTTTTGACGACGAACTCGAGACCGCACTGGCACCACTAGCAGGAGACGTTGTAACACTGTTGAATGCACCAAATGTCGGGGTTTTCTGATCGGTCTTCGGAACGCCGAAGGTGAATCCGGCAAAGGGGTTCGACGCGACTGGTTTTTGCGGCGTTGTTTGTGCTTTCTCAGGAGTTTTATCTTTGGCAGAATTAACAGCCAGGGTCGTCGTGGAAGTGAACGTCACGCCTTTAGTAGTTGTCGGCGTCGTTTTCGTGTCAGTTGTCTCATTCGCGACCGATGCAGCCGAACCGCTCAGACTAAATGAGAACGTAGATGACGACGTTGGTGTAGTCGTCACGCCAGAGGAGATAGCACCGAAAGCGCCAAATACATGCTTCGTAGGGGTCAAAGTAGCGCTTGGCATCGTAAAGAAACTCCCACTTGGAGACGATCCTACTGCTGTTGCAGCAGAAGATTTCTGATTTTCAGTCTTGTTGACAAGCGCAGCCATACTTTGCAGAGGGCTAGGGGGCAATGCGTTGCCAGCACCAATCAACGAAGGCAACCCATACAGTTTATTACTACGATCTTGTGAAGTGTTCGACGTTAATGGCAGCTCGCTCTTTATGACTATCACTCCACAGGTCTGGAAGACGCGCATGAGCGTTTCCGGAAGACATGACAGATCAGCAAAACGCGCGTAGTATTCAGTCCCGCCGACTGTCCAGGTAAGGTTCGTCTGTCCGTTGGCTTCGAATGCACGCGCCGTCATCTCAGAGTTGAGCGTCTGCAACGAAATACGAAAATATCGTGCACGGTTAAGAAACTGGTGACGGAATTGAAGGAGCCGGTCGTGTTATTGGGCGTATACATACAGAATATTTCGAGTATTCCTAAGTGCAGGCCCCATAAACAAGGCTCGAATAACGCAGTTAATCGAAAGCAGTTACACACTGCAAAGTATGGTTAATAGCAAGTCGCTACTCACAGCCCAATCATAGAAATGGCCAAAAAGAACAAAAACATAACTTCTGAATTTAATCGCCATTCTGGCGATATTACTTACAAATTTTAAGTACGTTGCTGTAGCATCGTAGTACAAAAATGTCTTCGTACTTGTTCCATACGAGAAATTAGTGTCAAATACAGTGATTTGGTGAACACCACCAACCGGTATGAAATTAGTTTGGCCTGTTCGTTTTTCGAAGACTGTACCAGGCGAATCGAATAGAATCATTGGCAAGGCGGTCGCCATTTGAGAGCTAGAGGTCGGTGAACTGCCTGGTGCTTTAAAGCCTTGATTGGTACCGCCACTGGTGTTAGATGGATATCCTGTAACCCCCGATCCCGATGTCACAGTGGTATATCCTGCGTGAGCCTGCAGAGGCGCTCGCATGCTCGTCAAATTGAATTGGGGCAAACCGGTGCCCGGAGGAATCACTAGCGCGCCACTCGTATAATTACTAGTGCTTCCACCTTGGCTAAGGCCTGTGCTCTGGCTATCGTGTGACTGTTGCGAATGCTGTTGTGACTGTTGATTATCTTGATATTCGTGATAGTCCTGCTGGTTAGCCTGCTGAAGCATGGTCATCTCCTCCAACCGGGTAATCTGTTGTCCAAGCTGTGACACTTTTACCTTGAGTTCAGACACAGTCTGCGATAAGACTTGCAGTTGGCTCTCTGTGGCGGTCTGGCCAGCTGCAACCTGTGACCGAAAGAGAATAGAATAATGAATAAAGTCTGTCCCAAATAGAATTACTAGCGACTTAACAAAGATACCAGAACGACATGCTGCACGACGAAGTTAATAGTGACATCACAGAGACAACGACTGATCTTCTTTTCTAGATCGTTATGCGAGCTAGTAATTTCTCGAGCACTACCGCTGAGTGCGTATATCCAGCAATAGCCAATTAGTTCTGCGGTAATAGGCTGAAATCAAGTACTGCATTTCAAGTTGTAATTGGACACTTCTATTTAATAGAAACAAATTCAAAAATAGAGAGGTATATACGCTATGCCAAACACATCGGCGAATACGAGCAAATATTTGTCTATGTCTATTTATGAGAGTAATAGGACACTGTTTTGGAGTACGCATGTAACGTGACGGCACCAAAAGCTCCAAGGATTCGTCTCGAAAAAGTTCCGAGTTTATCGACTAAATAAAATAATGTACCTTGGCAACACTGTCAACGAGTTGTCCTTGCATTGCCTTAAGTTCGGCTAACTCAAACGCCATTTTCGCACTTCTCTGGGCCGAGTCTGCTACGATTTTGTCGCACTGTTCCTTGATAATTGACTCTATACGAACTAGGTCAAACTCGACAGCGACGGGTGCGTCCACTGAAATACGCGGAAGCACAATTCAACGTCATTTTAAGCCGATGAAACGTGTACCAGGGGTTATTACCAATCACAATATCTATTCGTAGTCTAATGCATAAATTGCTTCGTCATTTAAGCCGTGATTACTGAAATATCTTCATAGGCTTAACTGTTTCGATTCGCCAGCCCACGAATTACAGCTCACGTAACAGCAGCTTCTACGAGCTACAGAACAAGAGCCTAAATCTGCAGCTTATTTAAATGAATAGAATTTCCTTTATGACTGACGCTTATAGAATACTTTCCACAGGCACAGGTGATCTACCCGCTTTAAGGTTTAGTCGTATCGAAAACACTCAGCCAATATAGCAAACACCACAGACAGAAAAGTTTAATCGAGAGAGAACGCCAACTTAAGCCAGCGGCTGGTGCGTACGTGGTTTCAGTGCCGCCAACGGTTGCAACCGTAATCCTGCAGGTATAAGCTGTTCGCCAGTTAAACGATAGGGACAAAGATAATGCAACCTAGATTTGAAAGAGGGCGTAGATACGCTTCGTTTTGCAGCAATATTGGACGTAAAACTAGAAACATTCACTTAAAGGCACTAGATCGTATTTATCATATATAAAATCATATAAAAATTAGGATGGCGAAGAAGCTACCAAGCGGATCAGTAAACACGTACAAGTAACCTTAGTTGGTGTACCTTAGACGAATGAATGCTATCGTGAATCAATAGCATGTCGAAGGTCTCCGTATGGACCAATGGTAAGAATATGAGCGTAATGAAATGATGTTTACCGTACGGTACGAAGAAAAATTGCGAATGTAGATCATCCGAGATTACAGCCGGTAGTCACCACAGTGTAAATAGCAGTGAGACGCCTCAACTTAATGAGTAGAACTACTATGATCATGAAAACAGCGTAACGGGAGAAAGCAAATTCAGCTACCTGGTGGACTGGTAAATGGTCATTTTGTGTGATAAGGGAGCGCGATAATGAATCTGTGTATCTGTTTGGGTGAATATGCTGCAGTGAGTAGCGTCGAAGCTGTAGCATATTCACCACGTATTGTCGCAAGCTACGCTGTTGAAGAAAAAAATTTAATCATTCGACATTCAGGTGGTTTTCGCTCTCGGCGTTGTCCAAAGTAATTGAGTAAAGGCAACCTTCTCTAGTGCTACAGTTTTTTAAACAACAAAATTTATTTATCCTGTTGTGGAATGAAATGAGGTATTGGGATAAAACGACTGCTGCCACGCGCTACTATTTATTGAGCGAGCGAAGGTGAAAACTCGGACCACACATGTGCACATTGCTGAATTCACTCTTGACCTGATGCCTATCAGAGGCGCGCATCGTCAGTCATTGTCACTAATCCAGGATAGAAACAAAAGCTAATTTTACTAGGCAAGCAAATCGCTTTCTTTTTTAGGTCAAACTGTCTAGAAACAGTGATCAACATTAATAAGAACATAATTTGCTACTCATTATAAGGATAATGATGATTTACCATAAAAAAAACTACTGCTCAAAAACCCCACGGAATACGCCATAGTGTAATCCGTGTGGGTATTTTAGGCATATTAGTCGCATTAAGCATTCTTTTCGAACGAGCAATTAAAGGTCTCCTATTCCGCAATCCTCTGTTCAAAATGTGTGAGTTTTGATAGCAATAGTTACGAGTAATATACAACATTCTAGAAGCGTAGTAAGACGCTATAAGCTGGCGAGAAAAGTTTAGCAAACAGTTAAAATTCTTTACTTTAAAAAATGTTTACCTTAGTCATCACATTGGTCGAATAGTGAATCGGTCCCAGTGCTTGGTATTACTAGGCGCCAACTTCACCACTTTAACCAGAAATAATAATCGACACGCGCGTGTAACGGTGCTTTATGATTGTACATCCAACATCAAACTCACCTCTTGGAATGAGAGTACTCAAATTGAGGCTAACCGAACCGATGGAAGTGCCGTTTGGATTGTTGGTCGGCGTTAACGTGCCGTTTCCATATCCTTTATTGTCCATGTCGTACGCATCTAATTCTCTACGAAGCTTTTCGACGAGCTCGGGATCGTGTTTTGCCATCGGAATACCCCTAGCCAGCAGAGCACGTGCGCGTTCTTTTAGCATTTCAGCCGTTTCCAAATCATGCTCTGCAACAAGCTGTCGACTGAGTTTGCGCACAGCTCGCGCATAATAAAGGTAGCCATAAGGGTGTGAAACCTGAAAATTATTATTATTATTACAACTTTGATCCCCGAGTTAGCAGTCCCCAATTTATAACTAACCAGTTTGTTGAATCCATTATATAGAGTATTAATTGATCCCGGCGATGTCGCCCGAGAATTACTAACAGTGGCGCTTGAACAACGATTTTATTAATGACTATACATCGTAAGCAAACGGTAAATACAGTTAATAAAAGGAAAAGAAATGGTATATTAGATATTAAAATATTATATTAAAATAAATATATTAGGCAGCCGTATAACTAACTGACCTCTGCCAGTGTCTTGATCGCATTCTCAAGTTCGCCAGAGAAAAACAAGAATTTTCCGATTTCAATTCGAGCCTCACTCCGTAATCTGCCCATTTCTTCAACATCAAAAGTGTATTGCTTGGGAAGCTCGAACATTGAGGAGAAACTGGTTCGGGACCCACTGTTCAATGCCGCCAGTGGAATAGAAGAGTGGTCGTCCAATTGAGTAAGAATCCGCTACGGAAAGATCAATCAACTTTGGAATATTAAACTACGGAAAACAACAGTTCAGTTCACGCATGAAGTAACACGAACTAGACGAAGAAGTCTACACAAATCTAGCTCCCAATGAAGACCCCCTTAAACCGAGCATTCAGTCGACGTCCGTCTTTTGTCATGTATACTATTTCTAGCATTTTGTACAAATACGAGCGCCGATGCAATTTTGGGCAAGATCGATTTGACCATTTCTACAGGAAAATTTTTACCGACAGTCTACCTTAGACCCCAATTCAATCAACTGAATGTCCCTCAATGACAAAAAAGTAACATGGCGCCGTACCAACACAACACCAGCATTCTAGCTCACTTTATAATAGTGGATCGCCACGGCAAAATAAGCGCTCTTTTTGTGCGCCTTCTTCAGCAAATCTCGAGCAATCTGCGCCATAAACCATATCGGCATCCTCGAGCGTGAATCATGCCCATCTCCGCCCCTGACAAACTCCAGGCCATCGTTCAGTGTTTTCTTTACTTGCACCAATCCCTTTACGGAGTTGGTCTTCATCACAAATCGCTGATAGAGAACCTTCCAGTATTTCCTCTGTTTAGGCGTCGTATACGAGTATTGCATCACTTCTCGTGGCGCCGTCGGCTTAGTCATATTCATCTTTGCGCCGAAAATCCTAACGGCAGCATGAACTGCGGAAAGAAAAGCGTCGATATCAGATTGAGCTGGATTGTAACCGCCGTGTTCAAGGTCAGGCACTGGCGGAAGTGTACGGAAGATTCGCTCCGTTGGAATATCAGCGCCACTCACTAGGAACCAAGCAAGGTGCTCAAGGCTACCGGCCATTCGGACGCAGGCGTTAGCTTCATACGGTACTATTTGCGACCGTTCTGGAAGTCGTTGACACGTGCGACTAATGACAGCTTGGTTGTACACCGTCTTGATTGCTTGGCCGGGAAACATACGCGAAGTAATCATCTCAATAGCCTTGTTGCCTGCCGCCGCCAGTTTGACCCTCGAAACGAACTCATCACCTAATGACATTGATGCCTCTGTACTTAAACAATGATAACAAACAGCCGTTCGGTAGCAGCCGTCTAGATACAGTTCCTGCAATAACTTGCGATTAGCTTCGTCGGCCTTAATAAACCATATTTCGGCTTCAACCTTAGTGGGACGCTTTTCGAGAGCAGCAAACATGAGTGACTGAGCACGTTTTCTAAAGCTTTCGTCGCGGGCTTCATCTTCATTGCTTACACGACGCAGCATCGCCATCGCAAAAATGAATAACAACTGACCCGTGAAATGTTCAAGCACGAAGCCCCATAGACCTTCACGGTACCATGAATTGATATTTAACGCGTCGTGGAGCAGTGTGTCAAATTCTTGCAGTTGTCTATGGAAGTCTTCGGTTCGAAGATGTTTATCAGTCACGGAGTTATTGTTGGCGGACGGTGATGACTTCTGGTCGTCATAGTGACTTCCCGATAACAATTGCGAGTCGGTCATAAGGCTTAGTGTAAGGCGCGAGGCGATCTGCAGATGCAACATAACCAGTGGTGCATCAAGGGGTAGTGCTTTCAGTTCCCGAATTGTCTGTAAAAAATCAGTGATTTCATTGTTAGCATTGCGTATGTAGGCGTCGTATCTTAAACAGAATGATTCACTTTATATATTTCAAATACTACATGCATTCATAAGTAAATAAGTAATGTTGCATAATGGTAATTCACAATGGTGTTGAAAGCTGACTATCAACACTATAAGGCAGAACATACGGAGAAAGCCGATAGGCATTCCTTGTACCACCGTGGGCTTGTGCGCATCTCCTGCGTGCCCTCCACTCGCAAAATGACCTGAACACAATCCTCGTAGCGACGGGCTTCTGAGTAAAAGCCGACCAGCTTCGCCTGTGATTCAGCATCTTGAGGATATAAGGTGGCCTGCTCCTTAAGCACATCCTCCATGTCCTGTCAGGCACAAGTTGCAAATAGTTGTAAAAATTTCAGTTTATAGAAAAAAGACAGGAAAATAGTTTGGATGAGTTGTATTTTGTCTCTATGGAAGGCCACAATAACTGAATATTATTTAATTGCGCTTGATTTCGTTTGATTCCACACGCAATATCTAGGACATTAAAAGCACAGTTTGGTATTTAAAGTGAGCATTGCCTACTAGTAGTGTGCGTTATGGCGCCTACCTACCTGTGAATTTGGGTTCTCCTGACGTAGGATAGCTTCTTTGAGGGGTAGCATATCAGAGGCTGGCAGGTTTACCTTTTCAGCGCGCTTGAGCCAATCGCGGCGAATTTGTACATCAAGTGAAATTTTCGCCGCCGAAGCACAGATGGCTGCAAGAATCTCAGGACTGGCCTGAGCCCCGTATGCACTGGCGAAGTCAAAGCGGAGCGACACAAAAATACGTACCAATTTAACGCTCAGTCACAGCTTGGCACGTCTGAAAAATTGTGAAATGCTATCTGGATCGCTTTTTATTATAAGTACCAGACAAAACATCTTGTAAAACTGGAAAATAAGGAAGGCCGAAGATAGCCAATAGTTTATTGTACTGTAAAAACCAACTTAAATTTAGTAGTTTTTTAGACTTCCGTTGAATTGTCAGTTATGATGCACAGGACACCCCACAAGCTTACGAATATATCCTCGATCAACTCGTGGTGAGATACTAACGTTTTGTGTTCCTCATAAGCGTTGTAGTATTTATTTTGTTTGAGGTACAGATCTCCCAGCACCTTGTGTGCTTCGTGACTTTCTGGCTTCGTCTGAAGATAGAGAAGGAGGTACCTCTCTGCTTCTCCAAGCTCCTGGATCGCAATGTACTGTTGTGCAACACGTAGGTATCGTAACACTTTCTGGAAGTCGAACAATATAATCAAAGACGTTAACAGATGTGATGGGTAATTGAATTGATTACAATCGTTATTGATGAACAATAACGTGTAAAACATGGAGTGTAAACAGCCAGTGCGAGAAAGATGTTGCCTGCATTAGATCAGATATTAGGTTCTTTTTTATAATTACTCCAAATTAAATGTAAATGAGTCTTCCGTCAAGTCATTCGACAACGGTCCTTGTCCAAAGGAAAATAGATATACTATATAATATGCATATGGGAATAAGCTAGAAAGTCGATAGTTTTCATACAAAAGGCTTTGTTGGCTTCGCCAATTACAGTAGCAAATCTTAACCGGCTCATGCGATCATCGTTTGCCATACACGTCATAGCAGGCTATTGTTGCGAATGGCTCTTGGGTTATTCTTGTAACAAAAAAATCTCAAATGATTTGGACAGTATAATAGTTCTACGCACGCTGGATCTTTTATAGATGATGCTAGTTAAAATCATAAAAAACGACCATAAAGTTCGTTCGGCCATAACTCAAACTTGTTGAATGTGGAGTATCGCCATTAACGTCCTTTAATTTGACAGCAAGCGAGCAACATAAAGAGCAAATTATTGAACTAATGTCACAGCAAGATGAGCTTATCAAGTAATATCATACTCATGTTATTTAAAGAAATTAGATGACGCCTTTGCATCTTGCAAAGTCACCGTCCAATATCGATAAATTTCGCCAAAGCGACTGTACCTATACTATAATACACGACTGACAGACAACTCTGAACCCAATTCCGAATTTCACTTTTTTGACTTGTTATATTCATATTTAGGCAAAATATTCATGTTTATTTAGTATTTTTGCATACATTTTTAAAGTAAACTATCCATTTTTAATTATCATTATCAGTAATCATTTCATCCAATAAAACACCATAAATTATTTGATTTTAGGCCAGCTGCCATATTAAGAACCACATTCGCCTAAAAAAAAAAGTACCAAAACTTCTAATGCCGAATAGAATAACTCTTATTTAAATATTATGATTTTGTGAATTAAATTTTTAAGGATTACAGAACATGTATACATAATCAAGGCCAATAAGTCACCAGCAAAATGGAATACAGGAATGTAGCTTCGAGCTTTTATTACTCGCAGTTGTCAATCGCAACAAATGAACGACCCAAGCAGCCGAAATTAACATGCATTCGCCATCCACTCACCACTATCTCGGTGTGCTTTAATACCCATTTTGTGCAATGAAAAAACTTCCACACACGGCTAACATATACTCGTTAGTTAACGAGTATATTAACGTATATAACGAGTATATTGAGTAAGGTAACTTAAACGCGTATTTAAAAATATCATTATTTATCGTATTGTAAATCATATAAAATGGGGTGCTTCAGTTCACTGTCAATTCCTATTTTTCAATCAATTTTCTTTTTAATCGATAAATATGTATGATCCTAGGCGGCAACAAGCATGTGTAAGTTGTGGTTGGCGCCCGGCACATGTTTCTAGCTAGCTTTTTTGCATTAAACATTTACCCAATTGTTTTTTTCAGCGGAAGTGATTTTATCCTTACTGTTGTATGTTTCTAGAGACATCCTCGCATATACGAAAATAAGTCTCTACGATTCTACCATCTATACCTACGGCTTATTGCATGATTCAAGTATACCTTCAGCTGTAAATGGTGCATTAAACCAACAACATTTATGAAAGTACAGAGAGCCGGCGTTCTATAATGGATGAGAATAACCCTTTTCTTTGTTCGATCAGCGCATGACAGCGAGCGCTTACCACTACATAGCTATCCTTACCAGACGCGGCCCCGGCAAGCTTACAGATACCGGCTTTTTCCCTTACGTTTTTCTAATGGCAGGGGGCCGTCAGCATTTTAAAACGGGTATCGCGACCGCACCATCGACTGTCCGCCATCGATCAGTCAAATTAAACAATATCTACACTTTGCCGTGCGTTATTTTATGCCTTTCAACGTTCTGCTGTGTAATTAATCGGCATCACCGACACTAAAAAGCTACTTACCTCATTTTCGCTGAGGTTGGACAATGCCCTCTTCACCTGGGCGTCCATCTCGGATCGCCGCCGAGTCATGCTGCGGGTTCGATGTCCCACTGCTACCGATGAAGCACCACTACTGTCGAACAATTTTGCAGCGCGTTAATTTCTTGTTGAGTTAGCGGCAAAACGATACGAGAACAAAAGAAACACGGAATCACAGTGCCCCACTATCCCTCTCGTTGAATAGCGACGGTGATTTAGTGCTGCGGCTAGCGCCGCATTCAGCAGTGAGGTCCAATAGAGAACAGAGCTGGGTCGATTTACATCTACATAGTACATACGCCTAACAGTGACTTCTTTCGCCAACGGATTGGCGCAAATCACCAACACATGCCGAATGGCGCCAGATCGCGGCTCTTTGCCGTAGCGCGCCAACATTTGAATATGTGTTTTGATCCTGGTAACATCATAAACATGATAAAAATAACATAAACATTGAATCAACGTTGAGGAGTATATCGGCTATTTAGTGCAATGGCGCGAAAACGGATGATATGCTTTATTAGGGATCCTGCCATGAACTGAGAAGGCTTTTACCACTATTATGTGTTACATTGCCGTTGTAGTATAAATTTTGCGGGAATATGTAGTCGGCTTTAGTGGATCCTATCAGTAGTACGTTATTATTACTATTTGCGTGAAATAGCGCCTAACGGCTTAACTACTAAACGCGAAACACAAAGCCTTTTTATGATATTCTAACTGTTATTGAGAAGAAAAATAATTATTGCGGGAACGTCGTTTGTTCCTGTGATTCAAGGGCGTTACGTAAGTTAATTCTTTTGTATGAATTCTTTTGTAATTTTTATGCTCAAGTTTTAGGCATTCGGTATAAAACACATTTGCGAACCGACAACACTCAGCTTATTATATACGCGTGGCTAATGCTATCGAGAGAGACATCGCAATATGCACGTACTTAATACCTCGCTTTGTATTAGTTGTATGACTTCGTATTTAGTTTTAGATAATAACGGAGTCAATTTATTTGATTTTCAGTTTTAGACCAAGTCTCGTATGCGAACAGTCGCTAAATGCGCCTGGCCCCCATTAATGCCAATATTTCGTTTTTTAAGCACCTAGTTAATACAAGGATTAAACAATAATGACACGTCAAATATACACTTGGCTGGTCTGGGGCTGTGATCTGTCATTGGCCACATGCACTTATGAATTAGGGCAGCCTCAATTCTAATTATTACAATTAAAAAATCATATCGTGAACATGACTGTTACATTTTAGGCGACAGATTTCATATGATATATTTCTGTAAAACGATGTATTTTTTTTTTTATAGATTCGTTTTGTTGTCTTATTAACTCTCATTCTATTCCTATTCTAAACTCTTCCGGATTCTAACAAAAACCAGAATCGAATATAAAAATTTCTTGGATTCGAAACAAACAAATTCAAAAATATGCATGGAACAACAGTTTAATGCTTAGGATATTGTCTACAGATGGAATAACAGATACTTTTTCTATTTCAATTAGTTCACAAAAATTTACAAAAAACTTGACTCTATTCCTAAAGCCAGTTCTTTTCCCTGTAATATTGCAGCGCGTAACGTGTGACTATTGACTCTCCATGCTTCCATGACGCCCGGTATCCAGATGGCTGGCTCCCAGCACGAAACGAAGTCTGTATATGCCCTCTGGATTCGAGTCTAGACCACAACGTGTTTCTAATATTAGCAGGCCAATACGTTACCCACTATGGTATCACGGAAGCCACACTGTTGACCGCAAAAACACGTGCTATTTTCGGTTCGAGTCCGGACGTAGACGCACTTCGTTTCCTGGTCGGAACCAGTCATCTTAAGTAATGTCTAATGGTTTGGATGTAGGATGTAGAACACAGCAAAGAAAATTAGCTGTCAATTGGTGCAGCAAATATTTGTTTATAATCATAAGGCAATTTTAGTTATAAGCTGAGTTGCTTTGCCAACTACATGTCTTAAACGGGAGTAAAAAAAGGACATATTTTCAAAATAGAAAATTTTTCATGTATTTCTTGATGATATCTTCCGCTATCTAGCTAAAGGGACAACGTCGGATTCGATTTAAATAATGAAACATTTTTTATTTGTTTTTTCATCGAGTCGTCACTCAAGTGTCACTCAAGCTGCACCGCAATGCATACTCAGCCCGTTTAGCACAAGCAAACATGAATATTTGAAAGGTCGATTATCTCCACTCTATCCGGTGTATTCAGCCGCATAGCGATCCCCTGCCGATGTCGTTGCTCACCCTTGTCGGTTTTTTAGACCAATTTTGTCCCCCACCCTTTTCCTCGCGCTCTCTCTTTTTCTTGAATATGCATTTTTAAAAAGCGGTATTATAATCGTTAGCTTCTTATGCTTATCATTCAGTGTTGATTATGATCTGTTGAAACATCTATTCTTCTTACGGGTTCTATTGTCTCCGTTCTCGTCTCTTCATTTCTGTCATCATGATCATCGCCATCGTCACCGTTTGGTTTCACTTGCGTGTTTCTCATTGAACTGTTGCTGTTGTTGTTGATGCTGCTCTTGCTGTTACTATTTTTCTATTTCTCTAGATCTTTATATGGCATCTTTCTACCATTGGGCAATTGCATATATATTATACTTCGAATTGATTAGTTACGTGTTTGTCTGTTCAAGTGTGTGTATCGTATCAATGTTTGCTATTCGCTACTTATTAGCGCTTTCTTTTTACAGGAAAAAAATAACGGCGAAATGGCCGGACCCGGTTGACGCAAGAGACTCCACCGATTGATCCCCTCATCACGTACACTATTTACGGCCTTGTTAAGCCTTCTCACCCCCCATACGCAGCTCATTCGTCATAATATTCGGCCTCGCACGTTTGATTTGAAATGCAGTATCAATTATTGTTATTTTTTTTATTCTTACTTTCATTTTACTGAGAATTGTTATTTTGTTGGCGTAAAGGTTATCCTTTCATTTCATTATTAGCGTCGTACTCTGACATTAGTCATTCAACTAAATAAAGGTTGGAGGATTCGTGCTGTCGTAATCATGATTCGCTGCTGGGTGCTTCACTCAACCCCTTGTCGCGTAGCGTTTATGCCTAGTACGTGTAGCAGCTGTTTGTCCTAATGTCGCTTTGCCGTCATCACCATATTGAGATTGGGCGGTCTCCGCCAGCTTCAGCCATAGCTTGCGGGTAGGCGCTCTCCTTGCGTCGTCTTGCCAGCAGCCAGCGCAAAACAAGTGCAAGACTTTTAGGTTAAGATCCAGGAGTCTAAGTAAGTACTATTTGTACAGGTTTGTGACGTCCTTCCATGTGACCTATCGCATGCGACTTACCTGCATTAAGCCACCTATAAACAGTGCGACCGGGCAGCAGATTCCATAGCATAGTGAATAGGTAGATTTACAGCGTCGAGAAAAGCGTATAGGTCAAATCAATTACATCTTTTACAAAAATACGGAAAAAGAACAATGGGTATTTATTATAAAAAGGAACGGACGCTGCCAAAAATTCTCGCTCCGTTATTGATGAGTCGATAACCAAACGACAACCTCTATCAGATGACAATGTCGATGCAATCTGTGGCGATGCTTGACCACAGTTTGATAGATACTGTCGCGTACGCATAGATTGCCAAATATTTCTTCTTCGCGGTGCCTGTCGGAACATATTTAAGCAACAACATTATTCGGGAAATTACATAGTACGAGAAAAATATACTTGGGCGACTAACTCTACGATGATTACGGCGGCGATCAGCGAATTTGAATAGTATTTGACCGTCTTGTCGATCTACCTGTGTTCATTTTTTCCGTTTACAGGCTCATACAACGTATTTGGCAACTGTAGCTTCATTAGTCTTATCGTTTCCTTTTCAGGTCTTTTTTCATGTATACTCTTCGTTCTCGTTATGATTTGCTTTGAGTTTTTTTTACTTGATCTGGCGAAAGTATCTGACTCGCACGACCTGACGAGTTGTACTTGATGCGGCGTCCGCAAGGGGTCGTCCTTGCCCAAAATGGATAAAGATATTGCACATTAGAATAATGTCGCACTGCGCTCCAGCGCAAGAACCGAGGCCTCTTATAACGATAGTGTACGGCGGTGTGTCATGTTTTAGTGCAATTCCAGGACACTGCATTGGTTCCAGCTCAAAGGTCCTTGTCAAGTGATGGAGACAGTGGCAGTAGACATGATCAATTATATCTATCTATGTTATATATTATTGTATGTATGAGAAATTGCGGCGGGCGGATTTAGTTAGTTAATAACACAACACGTTAAGAGAGACTCTCTTTGTAGGCGCAGAGACATTATGGACAAAATGGACGTGGACTGCGGCGTTTAGCGGGCCTGTACACTTCTCTCTGGAGCTGGAGACAGAAGCTGGCTTAGTTTTTGATTATTTTCATGCGTTCTCTAGTTGTTTTCCTGTCCCAGATATATTATATACGCTGAGATTCGTCTCATAGCTCTGGACGGCGAGCACAGACCGCGTGGGCAAGCTGCACAATATTCGTATAATAATTATATTGTCACCCATATATATATATATATAGTCTACGTATTTTTGCTATATATGCTTAATGGATATACTCAAATAATAACCCGTAATCCTATTTTACTCAACGGTAGTTCTGTACGTGCTATCGTCTGTGATCATTTACAAGTATAGTTTTGTTTGAAGTACCGATCGAATCGTACCAGCAATATGGTCGCCAGCCATGCTTCACAATAACGTTACGCGGTGTCCTACTATCGTCATGGCCATTGTCAGTATTGAGTGCTTTTAGATAGTGGACTGGATTCATCTAATTTGGCCATTCGTTGAAGTTCTACATAGAAAAAACTAAGGCTTCCGTAAAGTGTCCTATATTGTTATACAATAGTGCGTAGCTAGGTATGCCTTTTCTCGGTATAATAATAGCATTAATAATGTGTTTTTCGATGATATTACAAATAATGCTATAACGTTGTAAATGACTGTAACTGGTACTTTTTTTGCCTAGTGGCTCTGGCTCAGTCGTGAGGATTCAGTTCAAGTTTAACTCGCTGTAAGGGCCCTTCTCTTTCGTAGGCCGGCGACCCAACGTTACTGGCCGTTCGCTACTACTTTACTAGTTGTGAATATCCAATAAGTTCATCCAAATACGTAGCTCTACGATTACTATTCCTATCTTCCGAAGCAGTCGTAATATGGACGCAGTGTAAGGAAGATCAGCGGTCCCGGACGGGTAGTAAGTAACAATACAAGCGGCATTCATTACTACTACGACTTGCCTTCAGGAAAAGTGGACGAATTGCTGATGTCGTCAGCTCTTGGCTACAAAGGCATAACCTAATTATCCGGTTAGCTGGCGAGTGCTTATTTACTCGAATCGCAACCGTACGAAACCAGCCTCTTGTAGGGCACGCTTTCTTTTTTTGCACGGAGGCGGTACGTGCTCCAGGCTCGTGATCCTGCTGGGGTGCGTTGTAGAAGGATTGCCATATATATCGCGGCACGATCGGCGCTAGGGACATTAGAGTTGCCATAGACCGTACGTACTGGTCGACAAAAAAGTACAGTCGTATGTATAGACATGGTATTATTAGTATTCGTAAGATCGGTATCGTTCAATGATTCATTAGTAGGTGATCGAACGGTTGAAAATGTTCTATGCCTCGCAAACATGAGCTGCTCGCGGTAAAGTTATTATTATGTGTATATACTGATAGAGACTCTAGTACCTTGTCCTATTTTATATCGAATAATCCGCGCCCACCTATATTACATTGTTTGTATTATATACGTACGTAATATTATCACTAAATGCAGAATCGAAGATGCAACTTGGGCTTCGAAGTTAAAAGAATCCGGGTTAGGTATCTGGAATAATATGTCTTAGGTTCGATGCGTTAATTAGCGATCATTGAGAAATGAAGGCAAATCAGTTTGCATGTATTAATGCATAATAGAATTGGTTAGGGACAGTTGCTACAAGCTCTGGGCTCCTGCTTGCCCTTCGAGCGTCATCTCTTCCTTTTTATGTCAGCGTGTGTCACGTCAATGCTCACTGAGATCTATAAATTGTCTATAAAGTTCTATGCAGTTGATTTCTTGAGTGGCGGGTGCTCAATGTGAACTTGGTTTGTATATGGATGCGTATTTTTTAGCCGAGCTTTTTCCGTCGAGTCATCGACGTTGATTTGCACCTATCGGAGGTAATTTGCATCAATTGATGAATAAATCAACTTGCGTTGACGGGAATCGGTTCATGATGGGGTTCGTAAAGTTTGCGAAAAGATGGTTACGGCAGAAGTTAATTGCTTACAGGCAAAGACATTAATTTGTGCCCGTGATGTCGGGGGCGAAGGTTAGAATTCACGGGACTCCCGATAGCTTTTGTTGGCTGCCATCATCTGCTTAAAAGGAAGCAAATCCCTCTGAGGATTAAATTCTGTCACGATAAAGCGAGTTTATATATATATATATATATATATATATATATATATATATATATATTCGTCTGTGTATATATGTGATACCTCCTGTTTGTTATAATTGGAACACGTGGGTTGGTTGACTTTTTCGAGTGCTATGCCGTTGCCATGCATGTGGATAGTTGTCTCATTGTAGCAACTCCTATGGATAGAAAATACGTTGCACATTCTATCCCTCATGTGTTGGCAAGTACTTCGTCAAATTCTGTTGCTGCTCTATGAGGTGTCCGAGGAAATTCGTTGGAACTTCATGAGCACGTCGTTCGATAGATGGAGTGGATTATCGCCAAGTGCCGTAGATGTTGCTGCGTTTGTCGCTAATGTAGTTGATATTGTCGTCGCCGTTGTGGCCGATGTAGCCGTCATCGGCGTTTCAGGTTCACCATTAGATGGCGGTATAACATCGGGAAGCCCTGTCGAACCTACGTTAATATTTAGCTGGAATGTTGGCCGGCCTGCAACGATGTGCCAAAAAGAGATTCTTTATAAGATATATTAGTAATATAATTATGTATATATCAGCTGAGTAATTTTTCAGGCAGACTTGCCATATGATATACTAGTAACTGATATTTAACGCAATTGGGGATGCGGTGTTCCATATGAGGCTACCCTCGACCGATAGCCGGCTAAAGCTTCTATTAGAAAAGGAACTGAGAATAGAAAGAGGATAAATTGACAAACTCTTTTAGGGTCGCAATTGTTAATTGGTTAACTGCAGTTGTGATGTCATTTACTCAAGCGACCAAAATTTCGCCCTTATCCCGCAAGTCTAGCCTCTTAATTAAACCCTACTGCAGGTTTTTATGTATATCCTCCAGAGCAATTGTTCGAATCAAAAGGACGTCAGTACGTTCTAAAGACAGACGTCTCAACTGAGCAGTAAATTCTGTGCTTTTATATTGCCTAACATCGCCTAGATGCCCATGCAGCGTGTCATCGAAGACAAATTGCTGTTTTCTCATTGTCATTGTAACTACTTTCTTCAACAATGAAACAGTCCAGGCCCTACCACGAAAGGCAAAGGAACTCGTTTTTTAGCCAAGAGTACGCACTAGACCCTATTTAATATTTTTTACTACTGATTCTTCTTAAGAAAAGACTAGGTAGTGTCAATTTTTAGTACGCGCTCATTTAGTCGTAAACTAACATGAATAATGCCTTGCAAATAACGGTATACGTACGTTACGTTTAAAATGCGTAACGTCAATGCGTCAATCACCCTAACGCTTGAACCAATCCAATATATACTGGCTTTTTCATTCGTATTCACTGTTGCGGTGAACTATGCCGCTATGCTATTAAACATATCGGAAGGGTGCACAGAACTATATAAATCACTGTTTGGTAGTCACGGAAATACCCCTATTTTCGTCTCAATCGATCAGACTATTGCTCCTCATTCTTGTTTCTTCCTGCTAAACTGTGGCGTAACCTTTTTGCTACGTTTTGGGGGCCATTAGTAATTGAGTCCTTGGAGTAGAAAGCGTACCGGAAGCTGTTAGGCAAGCGCACCCCATTCCAGCTCATATCGACCCAGATCAGCTCTAAATCCGCTGTTCTCTATTCTCGGCTTGTTCTGGCCCTTCTCGACCGTGTGTTACTGCTCACGGGTCTAATTTTTGTTTAGGTTTGAGTCATGATAGCTGCATCGATTAAGGCCAGCCACCACGGGCTATTTTCGCTTTTCGCTCAACGTAGGCGCATAGTCATGAATTTAGATAGGATGCTCATACAGGTCAGGGCTGTACCGTTTCACGTAATCCAAATTCGAACAGGGGGTCAAATGTCGTCACACAGTTATGTCTTGCCACCGCCCTGTTCTCGAGAACGTACATCCAAACTGAGGATGTTCTTGAAGACAAGATGCATGTAGAACTTCATTGTGGTTTTGCCTTTATAGCTGTTGTTATTTCTGCTAGGAGCGAAAGAATGTACCTATTGAAAGTAATAGGTTATTGTTGTAAAATGTCCAATGCCATAGTGTATTTGTCGATGTCTAAGCGTAGTCGTCAGGTTGATTTTGTACTTCGAAACGCAACAATAAAGGAAAGGTCAGCTATAAAGATACGAATATACGAGAATTTCAATTCAGTAACTAAAGGGATGGCGTCAGTTTTAGATGTATCTGTACCTTGGTGTGTACTACCGGTACGGTAATGCTCTGTTTATGTTAATTTGTCAAATCGATTTTAATAAAAGACGGCGCCATATGGCAGAAAATATAATTATCTGTATGCAATCTTAATGCTTGCGTAACGTTCGTATTTAAAGTAGAAGAATTTATTTATTAAAGCGTCGGAAGTTCAATTTCGGTTCGTTATTAAAACCAGTTGTTCTCTATATAAACGCATTAGGCTAACTTGAGTTTAACGCTGAACGCTTAGCTATGGTCATAGTTCTTCAGGAGCACCATAAAGTTTATATGAGATATACGAGGTAAAGTAAAGCATTTATTTTTTTAGCCAAATAATAGACATTGGATGGAGCTCTGTTTTGTTTGTTGCTCCCGTGATTTTTTTTTGTCCATCATTTCGCATCAAGTCCAATGCAAACATGTATAAATAGTTGCGGCAACTTCGGATTAGTTCAGTGACTATCGTCTCAGAAGCCACGTTCAATTTATTCTATTTTAGTAAAATTTTAACTAGAAGGGTAAAGTAAAGGCGCCCAAAGTAGGGAGAGGTAACTAGTTATATGTTTCTACTACTGCTGTTACGATGTTATGACTATGAGGCTGATATGGCAAGTTACATTAATTACCATGGTGATACTGGATAGCACTGAGAGGTGTTTGCCAGTTTGAACAGCTCACTTTAGCCTTTTCTGTTTATGTAGTTGCCTATTAACTTATTTAGCGAAAGAAAAGCCGCTACTGCTATCATATGAAGAAAGATACGCACCTTTTGTTTAATTTTAAGGAAAAGGCATATAAACAAAAGCGGACGCCCCAGAAGAACCATTATAACCGTAGATTCGAGCAGCAGACAAAGTATTCTAATCTAATCAGTTTAATGTACAATGATACAATATACGTCAAAGGAGAGAAGATGTACTGAAATCATCCATTGAAGCAAGCCGTTTCCTGCGAGATCTAGCCTTACCGTTTATCGAGGGAACAATAGGCGAATTGCTTAGAAGAGTCATTCTGCAACCTTGAGTGGACCTCAAAAGGGTATCATCCTCAATAATTATGTATCTACATGAACAGGAACTTTGCTGCAAAGGTCTTACACGTTGCTGTTCCAGTTTCGGATTCTCCAAATGTACGTTACGCATTTAATACTCTTTTGGTGCATGCAGTACTATCGATTCCATGACTTTTTATTAGAAAAACTGTGAAAAAATAACCATTTATTGTCGCAAAAAATGCTATCTGCCTGCGCCGTGAGTTTTAACTCGATTTTTAACTTGCCTATAGCGTTCATGCTTGCCCGTTGCGACAGCTTTCTATAGACCTTTCTTCCGCCATTTACTAAAATCGGGCCCACTACAGAACCGGAAAAGCAAAGGCGAATACTTTCCATTCAGTTGAGCCCGAATCTGCGAGCTCGTCAGAGATGTTGTATATTATTGCCAAGATGCAGCCATCTTTCGGTCTCCTGACGAGTACGAACTATAGTCAGTTTGTCCGTACAAAAAGGCGGGTGCACAAGAAGAAAACCGAGAACAAAGACAACAACGACTAACCAGAAGCGTTTCAGCCAAAGTTATTCTTGCCTGTGCCCCCTACCCTGATTCGAGCCCCCCGCCGTCACTCAAGGAGTCAGCCATTCACGCAAGCTGGCTAGCTGTTCTAGCTATACGCACGCAACTGTGTACAATATTTAAACCGTAGACATAAAAAATGGGGACCTGAAATCTACGGCTTTTCCCTCCACCTTCTGCTGCGGCTTTTAGTGTCCATGGTGGACACGGACAATCGCATATATCGCCCTTGCCCCAATATCCATTTTTCAACTACAGCCGGAGCACAACAGCAACGGCGATAACAAAGAACAGCCGTCTGGGTTTGACGAGAATGGCAGTGGCTGCATCTAGTCCCAAATCCATCGTCAAAGATTATTCGATTTGGTAGATGAGATTGTTAGAGTATAGATTTCTGTCACGCTTCTCAACCGCTTCGTTAACGTTCTTGTTGTTGCACTTGCACCCGCATTCGACTTATTCTCGGAATCAAGCTGCTATCCAAGCGTGTAGAAATGAAAGAACTAAAGCGTGTTAATATAGCCAGGACGCTGTGAAGGGCTCATCGGCAACTTCGATCAACTTACGTAAGTCGAACGGGAGGTGAGTGGTATCAACTCCGGAGGTGAGTGGAAATTGTGGAACAATTTCATGGCATAGTTGTAAGCACCTTTGGGCAACGTTGAAATACTCTAATAAAATTTGTAACGGACGAAGGAAATTACTGCAGTCGTCGTTTCTCTTGTTTTGATTGTTGCTGTTATTATTACTTCTACTCAGAAGTTTCTATCATAGTAGGCCTTGCTTTTACTAAGCACTACACTATTAAATTAAAAAAATCCTTTAAGGTTCTTGAGTTTTGAAGTCATTTGAACTTGCTAGAGCTGTCGGATATAATTACAGTTATATATATATATATATATATATATATATATGTATGTACAAAATTTCTACGAAATGACTTGCCGTGTTTGTCAGATTTACAGATACTGGACTCGCCTTCGAAATGGTACTGCAGCTTTTCCTTTGAAGATAAAACGTAACTGCACTCTAATAGTGCTTCAGTTTCTTTTAGCTTTAGACTTGTGCGAAGAAGAATGAGCTAACCTAAATCAGAACAAAATAATATACGACGTACCAGAGAGAAACTTGCTGGCGTTCCGTTGCGGCGTGTGTTTGTGTTGCGGTAGCTCGAGTTCCATCTGGTCATGATAATCGTCATCAGCATAGCCTTGGGCGTCTGGTTCAGCCTGTGGTGTGATAGTACCATCCGAACGTGCGTCGAGAATATTGTCAAGTTCATTGACGAGTGAGGTTGGCTCGCTAAACATGTCAAGCGTGTCCGATTCAAGACCGCCACAGTGGCTTCCGTTCTCGTTCATGTCGTCATGACAACCAGCGCCACCAGTGGCGGTGTTGTTGACGCTGCGCGCGTGACGACCCAGACTGTTGCCATTGCAGTCATCCTCGTCATCGTGAGGAAGCGTCTGAAGTGGGTGTGAAATATTGGACAATGTGCTGAGGTCACCGTTCGACGCGGTGATGTACTCGGACATCGGCATCAGCTCGTTGGCCAGTGTAGATGCTTCACTCTGTCCCTCAACCACCACCTATATTCGATATGAGCATGACGTATAGAAAGGAGCGATTGAAGAGAGAAAGAGCCCGCGCCGACGAAGACATGAATTAGAGGGAAAAAGGTACCAGTGACAAATTAAGCACATTAACACAGAATATAGAAAAGAACAATGCGAACAGAAGGAACACCAAGAGTAAAAAAAAAACAGATACACACAGAACAACGAAGAAAATAGTTAGCACATCTGGGCGTACTGTTACTAGAATGATAAAGTGTTGTGAGGGTAAGCTGGCTTGTGCAATATGATCCCAGCTGATACTAGGAAGTATTGAATAGTAACGTCAATTTTAGCATTTCAATATATTCCGTCAACAGGTATATAGGCTTGCGGGTCCAGAGACTATGAATGGCTACTTCCACGTTTGTCCGGAAGAATATCTTAAGGTATTAGTTTGTGCAGAACAGCGTGACATTGATAGGTCGTGTGTCGCTATGAGCAGGTGGCATAACACGGTCACGTTGACGAATCGGCGACTGAAATGATTCAGTTCAATTCGACCGAAGTACCAGAAGCACTGGAATTGTCCTGTATAATAGCAACCATTGTCCAAGTCGGTGGTGATTAATAGAAGAAAGCAAAGATACACCTAATAAGTGAAGCATACCTTTGGTAGGGATGTGATACCATCATAACAAAGTAGGTCAAACAGAATCGTGTCAGGTAAGAGTAGCTTCTCCAATATGAAAAAAATATGCATTACGTTGAGGTCTATCAGTTTCGTTTTTCTTATTCGGAACTGGTCGGGATTCAGGCGTGAAATAAACGTGCCTATTCTACAATTAATTACATTGGGACTCGCTAATGTTAAGTAGGTCCTTCGAGAACGTCAGTTCGTTGGGTAAACATTGAGAAACTATTTTTTGCTACTTATAAGGCAGTATGCATATCAGTAGCATAAGTTCCTTGTTGACTTCCCAGGTTTCCACCGACAAGAGCCACCGTCATCGTGCTCCTTTAAAAAAAATAGCTAATCTATCACTTATATTAGTAAGCAGTACGGTTCCACCCATATTCGTCCATATGGAACCAGACACTGGCAGCAGACTGAACCCGCCATAACTGTATATCCGCTAAAGTGCCAGCGACACCCAGCAAGGGTCCTCTCCTGCCTGAGGAAACGCGACTGCTTACATTTGTGTGTGTGTTTTTGTGTATGTGCAAGAGTGAAACATAGCATCAAGCAGCCAGCGAGTCAGTCGGTGATTTACTTCGGTAGATAGTTGGGAGGCTGGAACGTGCACGTGGATTCCCAGAGCCCAAAGCTGTCGATACAAAGAGGCTTTTGATCGAAAAAAAAAAAATGCTCATGGAATGCAAAGACTGCTTAAGATCGCGACGATCTACGTGACGACCGCATCAGAAAGATTTGTGTGATAGCAAGCGCAGAGTGGCGTAAGCGATCCTTAGATTCATTTTACGCACACCTATAGACAGTCATTCTCCTAAAGCGTCTTTCGGATCAAGGGTAAAGTCGCAACATTTCCTCCTTTACCATCTGTCTCTGTTTTAGTTACTCTTTATCCCGCCAGTTAACACTGAAAAACTGCCTTATCTTGCTAGGAATACAATTAGGGCCTGCTGTTTAAGGAAGCAATTCTTGTGAAGCTTATCTATACTAAAGCTTTATTATACAACAGAATATTATCCCGATTTCAAGCGTCGACTCGTTTTGCTTTTGATTGATATAATGAGGGAGGGCGCTGGTTAAAGGCTGTTGTTATATGAAAGACGCAACATAATCGTAAGAATTGCTATTCCTCCTAAATGCTGAAGTCACTCATGGCGGAGGGAGGCATTTTGGATGGGAGAAAAATGTAAAAAAATATTATATATGAATGCCCTTTCCTCGCAGACTGATCGTAGTGCTTTGTATACGTTATCAGCGATGGAAATCATTGAGCTTTGGGGAAAATTAACTGATAGAAATGAGCTAACAATACGACATAAACTTGCTCATAAAGGATGAAGCATTAGGTAGAAATGCCATTTCAAGTCCAAGAAACCAAGAGTGCCTCGAGAGCAGTTAAAGTTTCGTTAAAAGTTCTCTCAAGTATCCTCTGCACAAGGTACTATCTATATGTAGAGCAAATGTGTTACAATAGAGGTATTAGTTAGCTTAGTTTCAACGAGCTACTCGTTAAAGTGCATTTATCAAAAAGCTCGAAGAGACCCTAATGAGATTAGTGCAGGTTCAGCGATTAAATATGAGTGGTACAGCTTCATAGTAGATTGACTTCAGAGAACGGCAATCTATAACGGCAAATTAAATTGAACTCTATAGTCGTTTACAAGAGCGATATCCAGAGCTGACAGGTGGTCAAAGCAGACTATCGTTCTTCATACGACAACATCCGTAGAGGAGGATGTCGTCGTCGCGCGTTTCCAGATACTCTAGGTATGATCGCTGCTTGAGCTGTGAGTCAAAAAGTAACAGTGAAGTGCCAGAGTACGTAAAAGGTGATTAGTATATAAGGTGAGTTAGTTAGCTGAAGAAGTTCGTTAGCGGGAAAAGGACCTCAAGTTCCGTCCGTCAATTAGTCACCGATATGGTATAGATAAGGCAGCGTGTGACATGACAGTTTTAGTCTAGTGTTCAATGCCAAAACCATCCTTTCGATGTGAGTTTTCTTCTTACGAACTTGTTTGTTAGCGTGTCGTCGTAACCAGTTGCGGAAATGAAGTTATCGTGGAACCCTGATTCTCGTTTGGGTTGGCTGCCTGCACTTGCGGATGACCCGTGTCAGTTAACCTGGTATAATTATAATAGTAATTATTATAATAGGACGAGGCGGGTACATTTGGATTTCGTAGTTAAAATGTGACCAATGTAGATATGGGAATAATGAGGCATGGCCTAATCCTTCTCCTGTATGTATCAACTAACCCACGGCAAAGAATATTAGCTTGGCTTGGCAAAACAGTGCACAGCAGAACGGGCTCAGAAGAAGTATTAGGCAGGCTACAGTCCCAAAGTCCATAAGCCTTTATTGTCATAGTTGCTATGACGACCACTGAGATGGTTTACTGGAATTTATCATTGCAAAATCTTTAAATAATGCCGCTCATATATTAAAAGGGATTCGATCCATGGACTAGGAATTTTATCTGAGTAATAATAACAATCGAGTGAAACAAGTAGAACGGCAAACCAAGTTAAATAAGTTATTCTATTTGTTCTTGGTATTTGCAATGAAAATTCATCTGTACTGGCTACGAAGTCACAGACGATTATAACTGTCGTCCGATATTTTTATTCACGTTTAAATTATACGTCAACGCACCTTAATAATAGATGTCTTCAACATTGAGCGCTCTAACTTTTTTCATTTAACTGACTTTTGCGTACTGTTCTGTACTACGAAATCATTGTTTGCGCCAAAAAAACGATCCCTATAAAGCTAATAATATTAATGATAATCATCATTATCGTCCTCGTATCTGTATCTGTAGTTAATCATAGAATCGTTTTAAAAAGGGGCCTGGATGTATATAGATGTATCTGCTCATGCCCCGCTACTCACCTTGTTGGCGTTAAGTTCATCGGGCTGGGGTATCTTCCAGGTAGACGACTCCAGCTGTGAAAGATCGGCACTATCTAATTTCATGGCAGGTGGGCCACTAGTTAGTGGGCCGATGCCGCCCAAACTGCCGTAGGCTGCAGTGACGGTCGAGTGAGTTGCCATGCTAACACCCCCGGCCGCACTGCCCCAGAGGTAGTTAGGCGGCAGGCCGACCGATGACAGATGCTCCGTTAACTCATCATCGATGACCGTGATCTTGAACATTTCAGCCACCTAAATGGTGAATGGATGGGATACGACGCGAACAAAGAAATGAAAGCGTTTTTGAACCATGTAACTCGGAAAACTATACGAGAGCATGTAGTGGTTTCAAACAGCAGTTATGCGTCTATGCCTTCACAGTAATACTAATACGTGATGGAGCTTGCCCATGTTCTCTAGAGTCCGCATTAGACGAAAACGAATCTTACTTCTATATCGTATCCAACCGTCTTCTGCTCCGAATTTAACAACAATAAGCCTCCAATGCAGCGAATTCCCGTAGCGGATACGTCGTTATTGACGTTTTTTATTTAACGTAATGGTAGAGGCCTGTAGTAGCCTGTTATGACGAGTCTTATCCGCGCAAAATGATCGCAGGAACTACCTTTTTACATCTATTACCGATAACGAGTTGCATATGGATATTCAAAAGCATCACGGCATGATGATATAGTATTCCCCTCGAAATAAAAGCGTGCTTTTGGTAATTGTTCTAGTTAGGTCGGCTCGTCCGCTTTCATAGTAATGCGGTTCATGTTTGGATAATACATTTGGCAAGATACTAGAACCCCACGTATGCTTTTTTGCATGGTCTGTGTAAGAAAGGTTTTCCTTGACGCCAGTCGATAGATCCCGGTAAGCTAAGTAGGTATCCAACACACACCCCAGAATACCTTGATACTTTTGAGTGAAAATTGTAGAGACCTCACTGATCGTATTGGTTGGAATAAAAATCATGCGTTTTTCGTGTTTTTTTTTTTGTGAAAATGTCAAATAAATGTGAATTGGAAAGTTGAGGTGGAAACCGTAAAGTTGACTTTCTTTAATTTATTTACAAAGAAAACGCCAAAAAATATATAATAAAACATTAAACAATAACGTCAAGTTTGGTGATGTCTCTTAATTACCGAATTAATACGCTAACGGAAATATATCTAACATTTGTGTCTGATTCGATAGAACACATAGTTAAGAATGATACAATAGGTGATATCTTATGAATGAGTCAACACGTTAACGAAGACATGTAAGATCATCAAGAAAAAATGCTTACTGTATCTTACTACTTATCACAAAAACAGAAGAGATTAAAAAACAATCTTAAGTTCTGGTGAGACGCCCGGAAGCATAAATAAATATTTTTAATAAAGAAAGTTTAAAAAATATTTAAGATTTCAATCAGAATCAATAGGTTAGTGCACGTTAATGAAAAAGTTTATCTTGAAAAAACCAAATTCATACGCGTTTACAAATGGACCTTATTTACCTACATGCCGTAAACAAAGTTAATCAACAAGCGCTAAGGAAAACCCGCCATTACCCCGTTGTAGAAGGGCACGAATGAGCAGCATTTAAAAAGCAAGTCAAATCAGAAGCTGGCTGAATTCTCTGTCAGAACAAGCTGACGAAAAAAATGCCAAAGGGTAATGGGTTAGGCTTGTTATTGTACATTCGATCTATGGCTTTCGTTAACCCAAGTAAACATATCGGGTTACTGAAAACAATTAACAGCTGTCCGTCTTTCTTTAGGTTAATTTCAAAATGGCTGTCTTGCTTTGAATCACCTCATCGATGCAATATATGGTCAATGTCCCCCGAAGCATAAATTGCACAAAAGCTTACAATACCGCTAATGTTACGTTAATCTCAAACACGATATGTTACGTCATTTACGGAATGCCTTATGGTAGAGTCCCGATATTACTGGCGGAAGGAATAACTGTACTATTTTAGAATATGCCAGGAAAATGCTAATACAAATTTAGAATATTGAATAGGAAGAGCTGGGCTAGTCTGATCTAGACGGTGCTCCCTCAATACGTCATTCAAAAATGTTAAGTTTGCTCATTCCTTTTTGGTGCAAGGAAGGTGAATAGGTGCAAGGAAACCTATTCAGGCATAAGAAGATTTCCATGAGGGAACAAGAGAAAAAGCGAAAGGATAGGCTTCTTAGGACTTCGTGCCATTAGTTACGGTACCTTAAATTATGCTGTCGCAAGCATCGGTGCAGCCCCGCCTTTTGCCTGTTTAGAGGCCTTCTTCAGCCCTTGCCTAGGTTGTGGAGCGCCCCATCAAGTTGCAGGGAAAAAAAATGAAAAGAATGGACGCTAAAGTTGGCACAAAGCTGCGGCACACAAATTATGGGGTGCAGGAAAAAAAGGGCAAAAAAACGGTGACGCAGGCAAATCACGTCAGAAAGTGGGCATGGGACCGCCTGGCCGGCGTCCACACGAGCGGTGGGTCTGTGTTGACATATCTATGTTGCAGTGAAACCAAACAGAAGGATATGGGTAGGAAACGTGGTCACAGAGGGAAGTTATGGGTAAACGAAGACAAATATGCGAAAATGCGCACGGCACATAGCAGCAGTAGAGTGCCTGGTCGGACAAAAAAAATGTAGACAGTGTTGAGATAAAGGCGCACGTAAGTACAACGAAGTACCCAGCAAGTACGCGAGCTGGCATGGACATGAAAAAAAATGAGCAAGGAGTGAAAATGGGGCGTGCCTAAACTCCCGAAGAGTTTGTCAGCGAGCCACAAATAAATGAGGAATTTAACCCTAGAAGCACGAAAAGGCATCAGTGCAGGACGATGCGGATGGATATAAGGTAAGAGAACCCAGCACAAGCGACCGGTGGCACAAAGCGTCACTACAGGAAACATCGCTTTCCAGATAAGACAGGTGTGACGATTGCTTCGCCAAACGCCTTGTTCCGTGCTGATTTCGTGCGCTTGTATGGAAATGTGACAGTACTATTATATTGTTTTAATTTATATATATATCGGTTGGACAAATGGAGATGCGGCTTAGAAGCATCGAAGCTGCCAGCTTAGTGCGTGCTCCAAATGAGCAATCAGCCTAAAGTGACGTTGGCGCCGCGGGTCGCTGAGTCAACGACGTATACCAGCGATGTTGCAGCGGCTTCCCCTGGGGCTAAGACGGTGGATCTGAGGTATCGGGAAGGGCGAAGAGAAAGAGAGGAGAACGAAGAGGCCAACTATGAGCAAATTTATGGGTAGCGACTTTGGAGATTTCTAAATGATTCCAAGGCTTACCAGCAAAGGGCTGGTACTTAGAACAGGAGATACCCGTTAAATTATAGGTTATTTGAAAAGAGGCGGTGTAAAATTATCTAAATTTGCCGACACGGTCACACTATAATAATGATAGCAGACTCGCTTAGAACTTGTTAAACATTAAAACCTAAAATAGTCGCACTTAACTCACATATTAATGCTTCATTCATTTGATGTAGAGCGGCCAGCAGTTTTGCACAGTCTTTGGTATGGGCCGTAAAACGGAAGTAAGAACGCCCGCTTTAGAATTCAGTCCGATTTATAAGATTGTAAGAACACTAGGATATAAACAATACAATGAATTAATATTTTGTCTAGGTCCCCTGCACTAGCAAGGAGCAAAATCTAGATTTCATCATGGCCGACTCCATCACGAGCCTTTAACGGATCACATGCTATTCCCGCCAGTAATCAGGATATCGTCACTTCTCGTCTCTCACTTAGGTCTCAGCTTAGCTTATAGCACTTAATATACGCAAAAACCTTGTCAATCATGAATTTGAGTGGAGCATTCCCGATGATATGCCAGCAATGTTAGATGGCAGAGTAAAATTTAGAGCTGAAGTAAATCATCTGTCCTGAGTGATGCGTGAGTGCGCGCATATGTGACTACGGTAACATATAGTATGAATTTCCTGCTTTTACCTATATCCGCCACATAGGTGTCCGGGTAGATATGATCCCGGCTGTACAGTCCGCCTCAAAATTATGTACCGGCATATAGTCTATTTGCCTCGGTATATTGCCTACCACCTTAAGCTAAACCGTATGGATTAGCTTAAATTAAAGTGGTTCCTTCTTCTAACAACTACAAACCAGTAACGAATAAGATGTTATTACGGTCAATGGTCAGTAGATTTATACTTCCCAATTTTTTATTATAGCCTAAACAATAGTACATGAAAATACATCCTGATCTATGGCAGCCAGGTGATTCTGCCATAATAGTCGTGTGGTAGCACCATCAGATCACACATCTCCGTGGCGGAATTTTCCCGCCATCATCTATGTGCATAGACCTTGTGCAGTTAATAAGGCATATATGTCCTAGCTTTTGTAGCCTGTCATAATGCAATGATGATCAATTCATCTACTGTCGTCGGCACCAGATGGCTAGATAGCGTAGTTCCAGTTCGTCATTGTATAGATCCGTCAGGTGATATATTAGGTAGTTCGTCTTTATGATCATTTTCAATGCATACTATGGAGTGGTCTGTGCTCCTAGTCACGTATCAACATGACAGGATCCACAATCCCAGTACCTATTTGCTTCCATTGTGAATCCCCCATTTGCCTCGTTATGTAAAGCCGCACATACACATACAGTTTTTATAGTTGTTATTATATAGAGTGGAGGAAAAGCCAAACGCTTGAGAAATTCACCTGACGATTCATCTAACGATTCTAGAGATTTAAAAAATTAAAGGCTTTTAAAAAAGCCTTTAATAGATGGTTATGAGGGTATGCATGAAGTATGTATCTTTATCAGTACTTTGTGTGAAGCTATACATCTGTGGCAATATGTGGCGCGTATATTTTGCGCATTGTTTGCATCTAATCGGTGGAGAGTACTCGATATAGCTTCTCTTAGAACAGTGACTATGTTACTTCAGGATTACCCATGGAGGCCATTAGCACATACACATCACGCAACTGCCGGCTTGCTATAATGAACCACTCATTTTCAGACCATAGCTTGATATATGTCATTTCAGGGCTAGAGGCCACATCAGGCCAAAGGCCCGTACACTGTGACCTGTTTGCATCCACATCAAATAAAGATATCAAGTAGTTACAAATACGGTATCGTGTATCCACGATCAACACTTGTTTGCACGTACATATGCTGCACGTGCGATACATGGGCTGTGCCCGAACTTCGGGATCCTTATCCCGCCTGTTCCGTCATAGGCACAGGCACCATTTTGCTTGGCACGATCATCTATCTATTCACGCAATAGACTCTATCTAATCATCCAGTACTACATATATAGAGATAATGAAGCAGCCTTTACTGCACATTCGATTGGCACCAAAACATTAGGGGTTAGAATAGTTCAATCAAACAAATACATCATGCTTTTTTTTGAGATCATCATTAATGACTTATTAATTCATATTCGACCTACCTTTTCTGGGCGTTCGTTAAGCATATCATGGACTGAAGTGCTTCTTTGGAACCCTAGCGAGCATTCTTCAGGCTCATGGAACATTAGGTCGCCCAATTCGATAACAAGTTCTGTTGTGGTAGGCCTACGCGCCTCATCTAGCGAACAGCACTTTGATATTAGACCATTGAAGCCGATCAGGTTTGTATTAAGTGCATACTCCGAATCCCACTTCTGCTCAACGACAATTTGTTGGAGGAACTGCAAATGCATCGCATAAAAAGTCGGTCTATCTAGAAAAACAAAGATGCTGATTTTATATGGTGGAGGAATAGCATAGGGTTATGAAAAACATTTCTTTATAACACATGTCAATTGTAGTCGATCGCTATGAGTTTAGCACCACATAGGGTACCGCTAGGTTAACTTAATCAATTGGTACATATAAAACCTTCTAAACCGTAAACATTGCCTAGGTTGATGAAAAAAACTTTTGCTATGCGTATGTGGGATTTAACAACAATGACCCTACATTCAAATAGTATTATAAGCAAATTCAATGATCGACAAAATTAATGTACTTTAAACTATTAAATTAGGGTAACATATTTAATTATTTTCGTGTATAATGCTATAGTTCTTTCTAACTACGCCGGCGGTATGATACCCGGATTATCTATCTACACCCGCTTGCCAACATGAATATGTCTATACCGTTTACGATTTCAACCTGCGGGTAAGCACACTATTTTGCGGATGCTCATCTAAATCCCCTAGGTAGTTCATATCATCGAAATAAGCCGATGATCCCGAGCTAAGTCTTGACGAGCCAACTGACTTCACCAACTTGGGTCGCACTCGCCCAGTCACAACGACACATGCCTCCCGTCTAGATAGTTCCTCTAGGTATTCCCAAAGCCCTTCCCCGCTTCTCCTTATTATTCGTATGCTCTGGCCATGGGTAGTGATCAGAGTAGAAGACGGACGGTTGATGACCAAATTACCGCTGCCAGCACATGCTTCAGTGTTAATGCACTAAGGCAAGAAGGCAAGGGCGTTCCAGAAATGCCTTACTGGGGTCAGCTACGCGATAGGAGCATAACTCAAAGAGGGTCCGCTACTAAAAGGGGCAAATAGCCTGGGCCTTAATTCGTGTGCTCTTTGTATATTTAACGATCGTGGTATATACATGTGAGCGAATGAAAAGACAGCCGGAGGGCAACTGGGTAAGGAAGTGTTTAAGCTCTACGCCGGTGTTGACAATCATCTGATCCAGCTGCAGTTCAATGATTGACAATCGTCAATTGTGTTATCGAAGCGCTGAAATTATATGGACGCGTATATAATTCAGAGAGATGAAACAAGATGTCATCAAATAAAGTAAGCAAGTAAAACGGGCTAGCGAATACAGCGTATACAATAAGCTGATTGAAAAAACACGATCTCGTTTAGGAGAACATCGCTTAGACTTTAAAGTAGAATACTTTACCCTATTCATACGATGTACAAAACACTATGTCACAACTGGGCGAACAGACTCGGCGAGACTTGGGGCAAATTTATTGAAAGCGAATGATCCCGAAGCTGTGGTCTAGTGAGGAGGGAGATGCTGTCCCATCATTCGATATGATAGCAGTTGGCTTAGGTAGTTCACAGCAACGAGTTACATAAATGAAGCAGTCTTTCAAATCTTTAAATCACTTAAGAGAGTATCCTTGAAATTCGTACATAACACGTAATCATTCGTTTTCTAAGATACATATTACAGATTTTCGTTTGTTTCTGTTTTGCGCTAATTTAATCAGCTATAACCTGCTCATCGGTGAGGTAGTCGAGCGGCCTTTGACAACCCTTAGCCAGCTCCCAGAGTAGAACTCCAAACGACCACACATTGGCTGACCTTGATAGCGGCAGCAGCTCAACAGCTGTCTCCATCACCCGAAAGGTTTCCGGTGCAGACCACCGCAGCGGAATGGCTGTGTCACCTACGGCGTAATAATCCTATGCAACGAAATCAAAACCGACTGGATAATGTTAGAAAGAATTGTCGTTTATTAGTTATGTTAGAATCAAGGCGAATAGCTTTATTCTTGTACTATTGTTTTTCCCACTGTACGCATTGCCACTGGTAGAAGCGAAGACAACATTTCACGGACCACCGGTTATTTGGACCATGGGTCACTGATTTGACTTCATTAGTCTTCGATACAATTTCGCTATAAGTGTATTTAACTTACTAGCTGGCTGCATAAAAAGGTCGCAATCATGATGATGATGGGGCTGTTTCTGTTTCGTTATAGACCCGCGGCACGATCCTTTCGACGAACGTTTAGGTACGTGAGGCAATCTTAAGCCTAAGCTATTTTCTATATTTGATGCTAGAAAGAGCTATATTATCTAAGCTAACCCTTGCCCGTCCTAGGCGCCGCTTATTTCAGATGCATTGTTTCCTGACCCTGTCTGATGTACCGATACCTCTTCTGCCTTTAGCAGGACACGGCTTCGGTGGTCGTGGTGGTATTGGTCGAAATGTTGAGATTCTTGCTGCTGTTTCTCCTACCACCGCCAGTTCTGTAATAAAATCTCTTTCTCGTCCCACGCTTATGTATCTCTCATCAGTGTGTTTAGTCGTGTGCCACCAGGGCGATCTCTCACCCCACGCCTTCCTATTGTCTGCTCTGCGGCCGCATTCGAAGGAGAAAGAATAAGTAGCACATATTAACTGGCCTTCTTTATTTGTCGAAAGAGACGGATGTCGAAGCAAACTTTATTCTACTGCTTCCGTTCCGATCATCGAACGAGGACGAACGTACCATACCCTACTCTGGCCGCTGACGGCTGTCCTGACTTGATTCTAAAGGGAACGTTACGAAAACGTGGGTACAAAGGTTCATAAGTTAGACGACATCGAGTGAATGGGTCAACGGAAGAATATTGATTTGGACAAAGCTTTCGGAAGTGAGTTTACACCTTAAACCTTCTCTCGACCATCACAACCAGAAGAAAAGCTTCTGGGCACATAAATGGAGATGGATAACGACCAGTGCGTGTGAGGGAATGGGGAGTATTTGATAATAGGGAAGTTCAGCGTTTTATAGGTTGGCCAAGCTGACATTATGTATATACATCACTAAATCTCATAAAGGAAAAAAGTTCTAATGAAGAGTATCTCCACCAATCAAGCGCATAAACATGTCTCTATTTATCACCAATGATAGGCTTATATTCATCTGTCCACTAACTACTCTAAGCCTTTTTTTAAGCGTAGCTCACCTCTAGCCAATTCGACCTAGGGGCACCAACTTGATAGCAAGGATTAGCATTACAAAGAGTAACGTCGTCTATGCACCCACATTTCAATTTGCTATATCACATATTGCCACGAACGAATCCTTCTACATTGCTGCCGACTTCGGCGACGAAAATTTTGAGAGATTCAAGATGGAGGACATCCGCTAAGAGCAGTAATAATGCAATGGCTTTCAACCAAATCTAAAATCCCTTGCATCGGTTGATTAGACGCTCGTGTTGTATTGCCAACTACTGCGGACGAGCTCCGCCACCCCTGTGCGTCGCGATGCTTCTCTACGCGGCCAGATAGCTTTTTTTTTTGTTTTATTTTCGCTAGTAGCATGACTTATAAGCTTAGATAAGAGAACGTAAGAAACCTCTATTTCGACAACACTCGACGGGTACTACTTCGAGGAGAGACAAACCGCCAGACCAAACGATAGCATCAGCAGCGGTCAGATCGGACCCAAGTCGATACGGGTGCGTTGTAGGCCCATACGAAATCTAACTGCACAACTATTAGGTGACAAACTAGTACTATTAGGTGTAGCGGCAAAGAAAAAGGAACCCTGTTCCACTGTCGCTATACCGAGAAATGGGCAGTCGAATACGGTTGCCTGCCGGTATCGCCTATACACCTACATGAGCGCACACAATGATGAATAACAATGAAAAGAGAGGAAGCCCAGAAGACAGGGCAGCATGGAACAGCAGACTACGACCAGAAATTCTGTGGCGACTATTCGCGGTCCTACAGCCAACTCGCAAACGTATGTGCGTGACCTAAAGGGCTCATGAGATTCGCAGAAATGTTGTATTCTATGCCACGATACTGTTGAGCTGCTGACGGGCTGTGAGATTAAACCTTTTTTCCCTGATGGCTGTACAGGCAACACAAGCTAAGCAGGTGATAGGGAGTACAAGATACTAAATAAAGAAGTACAGGTGGACATTGGGTGGTCGCCGTAGGTAGAAAGGTCTCACTAGTCCTCGATGTTCGGCGACCTCAGGATCTGACTCTCCGACTTAGTCAGGACGGACAGGCGAATGGATTGGACAAGGCAAGAACGAAAGAGAAAATGAGCATAATGTATATATATAGATAAAAACCAGTAGCATACAGTGACGTATTTGGGCTACACAGAAAAGCAATAAAAGAAATTGGAAAGGAAGCGGGTTGACGAACGGACGCCGGGGGTTCGATGGGAGAAAGGTGGGGTAAAGGACAATCGCTGTTGATAAATGGAGCCCCGAAGGCGGTGTCGTCAACATCGTCGGCCCACCTATACGGAGAAGTAGCAGAAATAAGTAGAGAAGCAGCCGTTTCTCGTGGACATGGTGCACCTTTCCGAAAGCGAAGCGTGATTGAATCCTTTACCGGAAACGAAAAGACGGGGCCAGCAGACACGGTCAACCCCTCCCATCGTGACTCTTTTGGTCGCCTTAAATCGCAGTTGCTCTAGGGGCCAACAAACGAAAATTCGCATTTTGGACACCGAATCGGGGAGAAGAAAACACCGTGGGAACGATTGTCCTATGCAATGTCGCATAGCGTGTTTTATGGACAGCGTGTCGAGAAACGGGCCATAGAAGACGAATAAAAAGACAAACACATGAATGGGGCAAAGAAGTAGAGCAGTTACCTACGGTCGTTTCAAATGAGCACGAATTGTGTACTGGGCCACATAAGGGAGAGATACAGCGAGATGAACTAGAAAACCGAAAGTATTGCGAGCGAAGAAGTTCTAGAAGCAGCTGTCTGGCTGACTATCGGTCTGACGGTGGGCTGCGGGACGATTTGGGGAAAATGGCCACTTCTAACATTCAATCAAGCTGGGCTCAGTGTGTGTTCATCCCACTAAATGAATAATCAAAACCAAGCAATGAACGGTTCACGGTGGTGATGCATACGGATACATTATTCGATAGTAAGAAATTTTAGGGAGGCTTAGTGAGCAGTGGATATAACCAACGCAGCGTAAAAGCGACTGATTGTCTTGCACCCTTTATTGCAAATATCCACCCTGTCCCGTTAGCTAAAACTCAAATACTAGACTAGTCCTTAGCTGTAGAGTGCATGAGTCTAGTAAGCACTCACACTACATAGCTAGAAACATTCAAATTGGGTCAATGTTTTTCTGTCGTCAATGTTTGACGACTAAAGAGACGCGTATAGTCAGTTCAACTATGAATGATCACATGCATTTTTCCGTGTAGCGTTACAGGTAGACGAAGTGATACAAACCTGCGGGAACTTCTCGATCGAAAGTCCATAGTCTCCAAGTTTAATTGTGCGCAGATCATTCATAAGAAGGCAGTTTCTAGCTGCGAGGTCGGTAACGATGAAGCCACGCTTATGAAGATACTCGGTTGCAGAAGCGATATCGTGCGCGAACCGAAGCAGAGATGCCGTTTCCAGTTGAGATGCTAAAAAGTTGAGACATACATCTATCTTAGAGTAGACGAGTACTCCCCTGTCGCCCGAATATGATCATTCTCACTTCATTTGACCTAGATACGAATCGCAGAAGCACCAATGGAGACACTACCGTCCTGTCTGTCCTATTCATAAAATGTATTTTAGTGGGTCTTTCATTATGATACAACTGTAGACGGTGTTTTACCTCATGACGATTCTACATCATCGCACTATTATCGCGAACTCGGATCAACTAAATTATATCCCGCACGTTCACAGCGCTTCAGCTAGATCAACTCAACCTGCGATAGGTAAAAAGTCATTACGGAAAAACTTGTTTCTCTCGTTCTTCGGCCCGACCTGCCATAGTCGCAGCGATCCGAGCTCGTAGAAGGTGCTTTTTCGCTTGTAGATCTGTAGGCCCTTATTAAGTCGAGGAACTCGGCGTATTAAGCACGTGACATTGTGGCACGGTACGTTTGAGTCGTTCGGGTAGGACTAAACGGAGACAGGACGGGCAAAAGGGTGACGTATACGAGACGGAGGAAGCCTTCGCATTATATTCAATTGCCCCCACATGCCTGCGAACTTCGCTGGAGGTCGCTAATTACTGATTTAGCACTGTTCATGATCATAAATAGTAGCCGTATTTAAATATTTGCGCCAAGATAGGTACAGGAGGAAATGTAATCAGATTTCAAGCTCAACCTGCCCTAAACGCTTTCCTGTTTGTTTCGGTCTGCAATATACGAATTATTCAATAACGAGCGCGATATAATAAAAACGTCCTTTAAGGATGGACTAATTTTAAAGCTGCATTGGACGCGCCAATCCAAATGTGTATCCATCATAAGACGGCTGTTTTCCATACATCAGTCACGTTACGTCCATTGATATCAATTGTCTCTGGCGGTCTTTTTTTGAGTGATTACTGATGTTAACTCTATCTGACTAGCGTTTCCTTCAGCCAATTTCGTTCGTGCAGACAGGCCTATCCAGTGATATGGGCTACCATTCAATATCATCAGCTCGGTATCTATCACTTGATCGAACTACGATAAGGGTCCAGTAAAGAGAGAGGCAACAACGTCTACGACTGCTGCGTGCGTCGCAGAAAGTTCGTCAGACAATCAAATACGCCCGTCGCGTAATTTCACTCGCGATTGGTACAAACGAACGTGACAGATGTGCCTATTTTCCATTAGTTTGTTGTTGCTGCTGCCAGCGGTCCTGAAATCGTTAATAACGAGCCCAACGGAAACATGCCTGCCTCCGTCACCCCCCGCTCCGCCCTGGCTGTCTATTAGCTTAATTTTACATGGAGGGAGTGGCATATTTGTGCTAAGGGTGATTATAGTAGATAGTCCTATATGGTTGGTCAAATCAATAATGTAACTATATCGAATAATAATATTATTAGGAAACAGGACGAATGCAGGATCAAACACGGAGAGAATACGTTACAACTCCACAATCGTAGCAGCGATGATCGTTCTACAGTTTTCACGCCTCCGATGACGGAATGAGGTGCTACTTCGAAAAGAAGATGGAATAATCTACAAGAAGCTGAGAATAGCAGGACATATTTGAACGATCTATGTAGCTTTATAGAAGTGTATTCGCAGAGACGATACATAGAAAAGTTGAGAGGCATATCATAATGGATCGTTGAGAAAGTATTGACCGCTTCTCTTCCATAGCTCAGATAATATGAGTCGCTTCATGGGTCGGCGGTAATGTTATTTAAAAGCTGAGACTCAGGCGGTGTTAGGTATGCTTGCATTATCGGAATGTCTTTATTCAGAGCTATCATAAATAGACGGAGCGCTTTCACAGATTTCTGCAAAAATTTGTTGTATTTTAGAATTTTATTACGACAAACGTACAAATGCAATTACGGAAAAAAAATTAATAAAATTGTTGAGCAAGACCCATACGCGTAGAAATTACATCTACACTACCAAACAGTTGTGTACCATTGGAAGAAAGTTAGCTATAAAGCAAAACTCCGATGTTCAGATGCCGCACGAACGCAACAGGATTTACTCGACTGTATTGGCGGTTAAAAAACCTCCGCGCGACAAAACCATGCCACCTCTAAAACAGTTAACGGCAACAATGTGCAGATGAAAAAGAAACAAAAAAAAAAAGTAGAAGAATGAGCTCCGCAGTTTGGTAAAGCCAAAGCAGGCAATGCTACGATGAAGTCGAAACGGGTTGGTGCCGTCTGAGAAGGTGACTGATCCGCACATTTACTGTTAACAACTGAAAAAATGACAGCAATGAGCTATTAAGTCCTTGTTCACCAGAGTACGATGCATCTGCCATTTTGGTCTCTGAAGATGATTTCTTCCGTTTGACTTCAGTTGAAAAATGAATTGTCTCAAAGCGATTTTCCGCCAAACAAACTACAGAAGTTCTACGGTGACAAGATTATGACGTTACTAGAAAAATGGCATCAAGCCACCGATTCTAGTAGCCCATATTCAGTTCAGATATCTGCCTTCATTTCGATCTCTTAATATCCGGATCGTATATATCTCTTGTGGATACTTTCCCCGTTAGTGGTAGGAGCATCTGCTGCTGCCGTTATTGCCAACCGTATCACAGAGGAACCATAATATTTATTGGTTTAAAAATGAGATAGCGTGTCCTCTGTCATTTTGGACATACTCATAATATCCTCATCGTCGTCTCCCAAAATGTGTGAAGAACTGACGGAATGTACGTAGATCAAGTGGAAAAAGAAAGCTAACGAACATATCTAATAGGCTATTGAGGTTCCGACTGGCTTAACTCTTTTGTCTCAACAAGTGCGACGGCTAGAATATTTGCAGCGGCGACAGCAGCAGCAGCAGCAACAATAACTGAACGATAAAAAAAACAACAAGTCATAACTGAAGTGTTATTGATATCGCTGACGTCGTTGTTGCAGACGACAGCAATAGTTCGGTCAGTGAAATGGCTCTGGTTCGTCCGTTCGTTGTTTTCGCTCAGCGGCAACGAGGGCAGCGGCAGAAGCGCAAAAGGCGTAGGGCATAAGGCGAAATGGTCAGAGGGACCGAAGAAGACTGCTCGGCTGGCCGAGCGGTCACTCGGATCGTAGCGCCCAATGGCCAGCTACGGCCGATGCCGTCACTGAGCAAATAGGAGTAGCCAACAAAGAAGCGGCAATTTTTCGTTGTCTACTTCCCATCCTGTTCAGACCCGTCCCGCTCGTTTCATTCCTCATTTTGGAAAACAACGAATGATTTCCTGGCTGTTCAGGCGGTAAGCGCAGGGCACTGACACCATCTCGACTAGCGGATGCCGGCCACCAATGCTTCGGATCATTTCGTTGTCCTCCTTTCCAGATAAACGCACTCAGAAATAAATACGAGCACGTGTACACGAATCCAGATGCCAGGGCAGACATAGCGTCAGATTCGGTGTTACTTTGACGCATTTTTAAATTAGACCTTCGTTACTTGACGTTGCGCTGGATAGAGGATCTGTTTGCTTCCACTGCTGTTGCTAGAGTCTTTAGTTACAGGTCTGTCTATCTATAATCTGGTCGTTTTTATTTTCTCAGAGAAAGGACGAGAAATGGACGGCAGGCACAAGGCGAATAAAAATAAATACGTAGACAAAACGGTCCAAATTGTCCATATCGATAATGGAAACACAACATAACATGTGAAGCCATTGTGAAGGAACTTGCAATTCGAAAGCAAGATACATGTCTGCTGGTTTGCCGTAAAGGCGAAATATAACGAAATATGTCCTGATTGGACGCATCGTTTTCGCCCGTTCATTATTCTAGCACTACGAAGCTGATGATAAAAGCGTCAATCTGCAGATTTCTCTATTGCGCGTTGCGAGACCGAAACCTATACCTAGTATCGAACGCTAATTCAGGTATACAACTAGTAGAAACTCTACTGCGTTTCATTGAGCCAGTTATTTGTGTCACGTAAACCACACACAGGGGGTAGTTGGAGTCAATCGATAGTCCAATTGCCAATCCTATGCTTGTGCTATCGTTGCGCATTCTATTATCCCACGTGCTAAGTTACCCTCCAAACGGTCGGTACTAGTCTTTGCTCCGTGCTAATTATTATTCTATTTTATCGGAACTGTGCTAAAAATGCTTGTTCACCGTCACCCCCAACCTAATGGATAAGAGCATATTTCCAAATAGTACATCAATTTACGTTGGAATAAAAAATTTTAGAAGCCACACAGGACGACTGACCCGACTCGAACAACACAGTAATCTTTTATCGGACTTTAAACCAATATGGGAGGCCTCAGCGCGGACGGGTATGGGTCGGGGGGGGGGGGGGGGGGGGGTACTGGTGGCGGTATCCGGGCTTACAAGCTACAGACGATAGGTTGTCGACCTGCATTGTACTATGAAACTCTATAATGTGGTGAAGGTTGGACCACACGCGAAACGGCAACTTCTAAGTCCACCTACAATACATATGTGTAATTACTTTTTAAGTACTAATAGCCTCCCTCTCTATTGGCTGCCGGATTTTCATAACGTCAAGCTTGGCTAGATAATATTCCCTTTGTTTTCACCGATTTTTTCCGCCTTCGACTCATTCTGAGACGTTCTGCCACTAGAGGCAACTAGCAATCTTTCACCCTAAAAGGTTCCGTTACTTTTAAGTTCAAACACACACCAACGGTACCCGCAACGCCTAACTGTAGCAGCTGCCCCCAGCGCCATTATATATGCCTTCTTAATGTAGATAAATAGGTTGTCCCCCTTCCTTCTGTTTTCTTTTCTCTTTTGCTTTTGTTAAACGTACGCCATCGCTTGCTTGTAACAGCGCTACAAGTATAACGCATATGCTCGCAGGTGCGCAGAGTCACCTGGAAGCGACACCCGTTTTGCGTTGCTTAGCTAACAACAACAAGTTTGGGAGAAATACAAATGAGCGAGAAGCGAAACTTGCTAAGTAAAATGCTTGTTTCATAGATTTTCTGTGCTAATCCCAAGGGCGACAGAGGAATGAGCCGGACAATCTTTTAGTCCCTACGATGGTTCGATATGCGTCAACGGATATATCCGCTGGTCCCAACGCGAGTGTTTCTGCTGAAGATGAAGTACTTATGTTGTGCTGCCAATAGACCGCCAATACGTAGAGGCTCCTGACAATCACGTTTAACGTAGTATTTAGCCTTAGTTGCTTCTAGATGCGCTTCGTCTTCTGGTTCCTGTAGTTTAACATGGTGTTTATCATGTTTTTTTTCAAAATTACCCCGTTACATGGCCTCTGTTTTTGACTAGTGTGAGTGTGGGTACATTTTTGTTCGTTTGGTTTAAAAACAAATAATCCACAAACGCCAATGTAGATAAGACAGCCGCGATAAGGTGTTTCTTGCACGGAAGTTGCCATTATTAGCAGGTGTAGGCAGTGGTAGGTAATGGACCCGTGACACTGAACGGAACTGGGCTGTCCAGCAATGTAGACAATGGCTTCAGCTCTAAAGGGCTTCTATCATTATATAAATGCCAACGGGCAATTAAATGTTCTAGGGTGTGGAAACCGCAGAAAAAACGATGAGTGAAGGGATGAGACGTCCACGAAATATCATGCCTACACATAAGAAGCAGTATCGCGTCTTTTTTGCTACGGATTGATCAGTTACCGAAACGCTGATTGACGTAATGGACGCAACGGATGACTCTGCAAAACGGTGTCACGTGTTACGACGATTGAAAAGTTGATCTTGGCCGTTACAGACTCTCGGAAGGTAATACTCAATTTAAACTGCTACGAATTGAGAGATGGATAGAATGCTCCATTGTATGGGGCTTAAATGGGATAAATTTCTTAGAAAATTCATATCGATGAAAGCAAGTGCATCCTTCTAGGATGGTATACAAGATGGCTAAAATAAAAGAATACGCAGACAGGTCTATCTCGACCTTAAAATCAGACTGAGGTATCGTTTTTCGTTGCTTTCTCATTATAAAACCAAAATGAACAGCGAAATGGTAACGCTTCGTTTGCTATTATCACAGTCAGCTACAGCTAGATTAGATGTCCTGCAGCGATGTATATGTGCGGCAATGCAGAAAAAGATAGAGAAAGTAGAAATAAACATGTAACAAAGTCTCACCCTATAGATAACAGGGTGAATAAGGCATTTTGTACAAAAAATAAGTATTACCTTCGCACTAGAAAGGAGATGTAAATAATACTCATACCCGATGCCAGTTCCATGTCTCGTTTTGTAAAAACCCTTTGAAGGTCGTATGAATACTATACGTACTATATATATATATATATATATATATAGTACGAGTGTGATTTACTTACGTTGCGTGATAATGTAGGTTTTCAGATCAGCTTTACCCTGTTCGAGGATAAGAAGGAAAGGGTCGCTTTCGAGGCATCGACCCAATAGACGGACAATGTTCGGGTGATCCGAAATTTTTAAGGCTTCTACCTGTTGAAAGAAAAGTAAAACATAACATACAGTGATTATTTTCTATTTAGCTAGCATCTATTAGGACATTGCGGTCAAAACGGCTTTACGAAACCATCTGCGATATTGTTTCGGTTCATCGATCTATTATCATTAATAATAAATCGTGAGGTGTGACTTCCAACTGTACTTAAACAATACATATACTACAACCATCGTATGTCGTATGCTATTTCTATCAGTTATTGTTCGATAGTCAGTTAAATATGATGATCCTGTTGCTGCCAGCTAAGTTCCAGTTAAAATATATATGCGTCTTTTGGCTATAATAAAAATTGCTTACTAATTTCGTCTTAACCCAGCGCCTGCCCAGAACAAAACCCCTGTACAGCATACGAACGGTCTGATACCACTTCTGTTATAAACAGTGTGAACTGCACGTATGACATAGTTCTACTGAACTTATTAACCAACCTAATATATGATTAAATGTCTATATATATATATGTCACTTATAGGATGGATACGTAAAAATTACCTTTATTAATTATGTAACATTGACATCTCCCTTTGAACGTTTTACTTTTTTTTTTTTTTAGTAATTTTAGTATAAACTAACGCCGAAAGTAAGGCTGTATAAATACCTAAAATAAGATAAGAAATTCTTAAGTCATTGCTATGTGGCATTGAGGTTCACTGTAGGCAGGAATTCATTCGAGAGTCCGGCTCTCTATAAGTCCTGCACCATAGCTTACCTGTTGCAGGAAATGAATGTGATCCGTAGGTGAAGCGTCCGCTCGAAGTATCTTCACGGCGACTGGTCCGAATGATGAGGCCACACCTGCGACGACTTGCCCAAACCAGCCGGTGCCCAATTCGCTTAGGTACTGCAGCTGGTGTCTGGGGAAGTTCGCCGATGGGTCGTCTGTAATTTGTAACAAAGAAGGTGACACCGATGGCCATTTGTCCTGATCGAAAATATCTCGACAAGAATAATCTACTGAACTAATATGTAGTAGTTCAAACGCAAGATATTCCGGTCGTAACTGCATTGCCCAATGATAATACGCCATGATGCTGCCTCGATTTGATTACCCAGTACTACAGAACGCTACGATTACTCCGATCCCATCAGATATTTCACAATGCTTTATTTTGGGTTTTGAAAGATAGCAGCTGGTGGATCGCTATAAATTGCTTCTTTGCTAAAATCTTTTTATCACGCGCGCGATCCGCCGCGGTAGTTAGTCTAGCAGCGAAGGATCGATCTATGTCTGACGAGCAATTCAATTAAAAGAGATCGAAACAGGATTCTCATGGCAGCGAAAAAGATTGTACCGCGACATTAATTTAAGCTGACTTCTATAAAGCGTACCGTACGCAGCAACGATACATTAGCTCACTGTTCTATAGAAATTGCTCCACGGCAAGAAGACACCGACAGAGAATGCCTTAAGTACCCTATGGTACGTAAACGTATCTCACATGACGATATTATTGCCAACCATAGCTTGTAGCCTTTTACTGTTCCTGTTGTCGTTGCCGTTATTGGCACTCACTTAGTTTTCATCATCACGATGACGTCTGTATGATCGCCACCCCTCGTTCCATGTCCGCCCCGTTCGCTACGCCGCAATAGACTTCGATTAAGCGTTCAGGGCCGCAAACAAGTCCCGCCTTCGATCACATTTTCACTTTTTTCTGCTAGTTCCCGAGCCACGCGTGACCCCGTACAAGGGTGAACGGGTACCATCAAGAAGAGAATACAGAAGAAAGCAACGCCGCTCAAGGGAGGTGCGAGTGATTTTAGCTGGGGGTTGCGCTAGAAGTACTGCCGTCTATTGTGCGAGCTTGGGTTTGTCTTTGTTCAGCCGTCTCCCCTCACTCCTCCTAGTCCGAACGGGCAGTGCCGCTGGTACTGCATCGCGCCAGCCATAATTGGATTTACGTGCTGCTTGCTGTGAGTACGGGGGCGGCAGACCGGTCGACTTCTTCTTAAAGTCGTTTGAAGCTTGGCTATTCCGAGCCGGCACTGTTGCCATTCTCCGAGCATAACAAGCTTGTTCTGTTTTCACTGGATTTCGGCCCATAGACAAGCAGTCGTTGTTCCATCGGGTGAGTACTCGACAAGTCCGCTTGTCGTTTGCCGATTCATCCGATGCATCGTATTTGTCTGTCTGTGGAGGGGCGGCGTTCTCCTGAAGCAAATCAACTTAGCTAAGGCAGCACAAATACACATGCACAAGGTACAATCTAATAGGATATAAGACACCGATGACCCAGGATAGTCGCAGTTAGATGCGTAGTGGAATCGAAGAGTGATTGAGGATTGACGACTGATAGGAAAGGACGTGACGTCACATTATTCCTACAGGACCAATACAGTGAGCAGGATTAAGTGAGTGAGAGGAGATCTGCTCCAAATCTTCCTATTCGGGTTGGCTTCTTTGGCTGTGAATTCGGCTGCCGTATTCTGCAGTTACTCAATAACATTCTGGCTAGCATATAAACGTCGTATGCAGATATTTTCGAAGGACAAAATTTGATGACAAGCAGATGCCTGCGCGAGTTTACTGACTGTGGGGCTGTTTCAAGCTAGCGACTAAGGCCGAAAAATGGCTATAAATAAGAAAAAACATTATTATGTTTGCTTTCTGTGCCATTACGCCAGCCCGTACAATCACGAAGAAAGGTAATTTGAATAGGCGTAATTAGGAAGTTATCACTAGGGTGTCACGGACAGCTGGGCAGGTAATTTCCTTTGGGATTTGGTGGCGGGTACAAAGAATTCGGTTCGGCCATGTACCGGCCCAGTTACTCTTGCATACTGAAAAGCGCCGTTTGTGTCTTGCTAAACCTACTGCGCTCGCAAAAAGGCTCGGCATTTAACATTATATCCTGCCCTGCATACGATGTGCCACATGTGCTGTGGCATGATGAAACAGAACCAGCTCTGGCGGCGGCACGTAAAGCCTGTTCGAAATAGACAGGCAAATCAATGAGTGCTGGTAGTGTCATAACGGCGAAGAACGAATAGCGTTAGAGACACCGCATTGAAGCTTTTCTACACGCCTATTGGATCTGAGGAAGAATGTGACAGGATACCACGTGGTCTTCAGAGGGAGTCCTGAAAAGTTTAAGGAATCAAAGCTCGCAGCGGTAGCGGCAGGCTAGAACCGCTGACAATGGACAGATGATAATGGCATACGCTGAATTAGGGCCGCTTTTTAGTCCTTAGGAGGTTCGGTGATAAATCATCAAGGCACGAACTGTAAAAGATGAGTCGAAAACGCTGTGCGATCAAAATGGCAACCGAATAATCACTACTTTTAAAATAATTAATAACTTTCACCAGTCTGAGATCTTTTACGCCGCTAGTGTCTTCTACATTTTGGGTCTACGGGTTATTCAGAGCCGTCGACGGTACGTGTGTGAATGTGACGGTTCAGTGTATTCAGATATTGCACAGATGTGCCATTACGAAAACGGGCCGCATCACGCAAACAGGCCAAGGCTTAATTTTTTTTTGTTATTATTGTTAGTGTTGTCGTAAATGAGAAGAATGCTCGGCACGGTAGGAGTAGTATGCCTTGCTTATTTAAAAAAATTTAATGGTTTTCCTGCTGGATTCTATTTTGTGCTACTTTAGCCAATTTGACGAGAAAATAAACTGAATTATCCCATTTATCTTACGCTGAAAGCTTTTGCAATTTCCCATTGGAAGCTGCTCGATTGTGATGATCGTCATCGCCCCTTTAATACGCATAGAAACAGCCGATGCTTAAACACGACGCTCTCGAACGGGACTATTCTAGCTGAACTCATCATCTGATGACAGATTGACGCACCGTCAGTCTTGGTCCTTCTGTCGTCAGATCGTTGTTACGGTTCCGTTGTTCTAATTTGGGACAACAACAATTTATTGTGTTAGCCATCGCTTCTAGTTGAATCGACTCGGTTACAAGAATTGTCTGGTACTCTTCCGCGTACCGCATATAAACGTAATGCTGCTACGTGCACAAGCGGACAAGATCCGATGACGAAATCGGCGAAATGCCGCCTTCTTCCAAATATACGCCAAATGTCAGGTCAACGTCAGGCAACAACGGTAGTAGTTATTTGTGGTGAAGTATCACAAAGACAGCAGGTACCTTCGTCTGTTTGTAGTCGGAGCGAGTCAAGTGGCACGGATAAGCAGGCCGGCTACAGATACATGTCAGATCCACGCTTTTTGATCCTAATAAATGGCTTCAGTTTCGCAGAAGCTCGAGTCGTTTAAGTGTATGTGAACGAACCTTCGGAGTAGCCCTATGCTATTGTGCTAACCTTTGTCCAAGCGAATATCAAGCGATGCCAGTTAATGAATGAAGACCAACTATTGAGGTGTATCCCTTCAAGCGAATTTCTTCGAGGTGCTACAATGAGACGATTATTTACTACGAGAAAAATATATAGTAATTTCAAAAAATCAAATTTACCGTTAGCAAATAAGCGCGGCGCCAAAGGATACTGCCAGCACGCCAGTGGTCTGTAACACTGGCTGGGAACAAATGCAATGATATTGCAGCCAACCGGAAAGGCATAGCAACGTTTTTGCTAATGACACACTATAATAAAGAAGAATAACATTTTTTTTTACTGTTCCCATTGTAGAACGCACTAATATCATACGATTAAATGTAACGCTTGTACGAATTGCGTAAAATGGACAAAACGCTATCCAGACAATTGCGTAACCTTTCCCTAAAAAGTATAACGGAGCTTTGCTATATCTTAATGGCGAGGTTTGCAGCATTCAAATAGTTAATATCCACGACTCAGGAAGGAGGTGCTCTTTCTCTAAATTTGCAACGACTTTCAATTGAGTGGGATAGACTTCAAACGGTGGGTGTCCATCAACTGAATGGCTGCCGTCAAAGTTAATTAGTAGAAGTATTATTTTTTTGGTAATTTCTTAAAGGGTTTACGATGAACAACGGTGCTGCTATAACGCACCGACTGACGTCTGACAACGATCTCATGTTCAGGAATGAAAGACGGCGCAGTTGTCAAGCTCATAGACGCCGGCGTCTGGCTGTTTTGACGGCGTCGCTACACAGAGGCGTGCTAAATGTACTTTCTAGATACACACTTCGTAGAAACTTTGCTTGAGTCTAGCTAAATATGATAATCCTACACCGCTTGCAATTGTAGATCGTTCAAGCTAGCTCGTTTCCTTGAGCAACTGTGGGTAAAAGCCTTCGGACTAAACGTATTAGACGGGGTCGTTCGTGCGCATCGCTCTTCCGCCTGTAATTAAGGTCTGCGCTTGAGTGGTGCTGCGGTTCTTTATATGCAAGTAATACCCGCAAATTTATTATATAGTATGGCGGATCGAGCTGCATAAATATAGAATTCAGTTAAATCGAAGAGCAAAGCCTTTAGCCAAGGCTAAAGGTCGGCCCAATGACATTCATTGCTCAGCAATTTTTAGGCCACGGGAAAGGGACATTATGGCCAATCTAGCCATCCATCATATAGAATTATACTTGTAGAACGTCTTTATTCAGACTGGATATGAGTGCGTGTCTTGCAAAATCTGAATCATTGAAGCTTCTGAAAAATGCTTTCGCGTAGATTCGTAGTAGCTAACTATCGTTCAGACCTGGTTGGGTCAATGACGCGAAAAAGAGAACGCGCGTCCAATAGGAAAATGTGTGTGTTTTTTTTTCTATTTAACCGTCTCTGTTTCTTCGTCGGTTAAGCATACGAACAACTACCCTGTTGTCCCATTTATCAAAGCTCGCTTTAGCATAAAGTAGACTAGAGATTAATGAGAGTTTCTATTTTGATATAACCAGGTTAAATTCAGTGATCCAGCTGGGCTTCGCTAGCTCGACAACATGCATCCTCTTATTATTAAATTCTGGGAATCTGCCAACTCAG